ACATAGCCTGTATAGCTCACATTATGGGAAGAAAAAAACTTTATTTCAACAGTTTTAGATAATACATGTTTTTTAAAACTAAGACTTTAATTTTAACATTTGAACCTAAAACATAGTAAAATTGTGGTCTTAATAATGGGTTTATTACAATCCATATTTCACTGTAGTACAGGTGTGAACAGAGCCTCCTCTTTAGATTAGATTATAGTCTGAATATCTACAGCTCATTCCAGACTGAGAAAAAAAAAATATAAATAGGCCGATCATTGCCGATCATTGCCGCTTGTGGCTATATTTATATATATATATATATATATATATATATATATATATATATATATATATATATATATACACACATATATATATATATATACACATATATATATATACAAAATAATAAATATAGCCACAAGTGCCAATGATCGGCCCTCGCACGCGCAAACGCAGCGCCCCCCAGAATGCTGTCCCGCATCGCAGTGGTTTGCGTCCGGTCCCCCAAGACCCTCGTGGGACTGCAGGGCTCTAATTTGTAGCTTCACTGTTCAGAGACTGTAAGACGTGTGTGAAAAATTTTGATAACGTTTGATGTTCCACCTCTTGAAATAATGTGGACCAACTTTGAGCTCGTTCGGGTAAACGACCTTGGAGGAGTTCGTAAAAGTTTAGAGAACTTTCATCCAATATTGTTGCTCCCTGGTGGAGCGCACGACATTGGTGTAATAATATTTTTTCTTTGTCTTGACATGATCGACTTCTGAGTCAAATTTCATGATTGTACGTGCAATTTTTTTTTGCCCTCATTCCTATTTTTATTTATTTTTGGAAAATGGAAATAGCCAAAAGTTAGAGAAGTGCGAGTTTTACCAGATGGCAAAATTTCAAGACTTTTCTTCATTGTTCAGTGGGTGAAAAATGAGTTGGTTAGGAGAAAAATAATGAGAAAGAAAGAAAGAAGATAGAATAATATTCTAATACGAGAACAATGTTCCACTTTTTCAAACTACTAAACTATACATTTTCGGAAACCTCTGGCACATTGCTACGTCCTGGCGAGGGTCCCTGGTCATTATGGGCGAGTCATGTTGCACCATTTCATTTTCCAGCCACTAGGAGCATCGCTTTGTGATACTAATAGGTCCTTCGCCAGCCTCTGGCGCTTGGGCATAATAATAATACGTCAGATTTATATAGGGATTTTTTGGACACTCAAAGACACTTTACAAACAAATAAAAGTATGACGTCATCATAAAACCTGGTCAAAAAGAATTCTTTAGGATAAATAAAGTATTTATCTATCTATCTATCTAGTTGTATGTATTCTGAATATGAATTTTGAGCACCTGGCGCAGTTATTTTATTTAATTTTTTTTTATTTGGTGGTATTCAGAATACAGTTACTTTACTAAAATAAAAATAATATAAAGTTGCTATTAATACAATGTTGAATCTTTACACTACAGTTTAAATACAACATGTATTAAAGTATTCTAAGTACAGTATTCAGAATACAGTACTCTGCCTGGATAATGTATCCAAACAAAATACATTTTACTGCAGGTACTCAGTGTTCGCTAACTAAATACATTTTCAAAGTATTCTACCCGTCACTGAAAAATGTACATAAAACCACACATGCTAGTCTGTAGTGGAGAGTCATTGCTGCTGATCTAAAATGAGTAGTTGAATGTCTCTCCTGGTCTACTCAAATGTAAATCAGACTGTGCTGTTACCTGCAGCAGGTGTCTGAGTATGCACTGTTTTTTTCAGATGTGTTATTAAGATCTGGGAGATTTGATTCACACCACCTGTGTTGATCCTGTGGTTACATGTATAACTCTGTTTAAATTGGACACGGACAGTTATCCTGTTTTCTTGCTGTGCATTTGAATGTAGACCCTGACCTATGCCAGTGGTCCTGTTATGGCCCAGTCTGAAGCACTGTGCAGGCTGCAGTGTGTGTGGATTCTAATGTGCGTAAACCAGTGAGTGACCCCCGGGGGCCTGCGAAGTGGACTTGAGGGGCTCCTAGAGAACAATGTGGTCAGAAGCCCTCAAAGATGCCCTCACTAAAGACCTGCTGTCGTTGGAGCTGCTGACGGCTCCTGGCTTTTATTTTGAAGTGGCCTTCAGGTCAGTGTGAGTATGCAAACGTGTGAGGGGCCAGTGGTCAATTTGGTATAAGGGCCATGTGGAGGATGCATACATCACACACTGACAGAGCAACAATAGCACAGGGCCATGGGGTTTGAGGACAGCCTCCTGACCGCTGTACATCCGGGTTTTCAGTCAGATGGAGCACAGGGGATTTACCGTTTTTAGAAGAAATCCAGACTTACTCAACAAAATATAATTACTTTTGCTCTACCCCTGCTTAAAATTTCTTAAATATTACCTACCTGTGTCCCCAGATATGAGGGAAACATGACTAAGTACTGCTCTTATAACAATTGGGAGGCTGATTTACTCCTAGTTACAAAAACTTTGGACATGATGGTCAAATTGATAATATAATTTGGTGTTTTGTTTCTCAAAATGATTATTCAGTCAGAAAGGAGAATGTAGCTGGTTGGTTTGCCCATTTCAATGCTAAAATCCAGTAGGTTTAAACTTAAAACACTCTCTGATCTAAATCCTCACTACCTAAACCCCAGCTCATGCAGCCCATCATGAATCAATAACTGTAAGGTTATATATAGTAATACATACATTAACTGCTCAGTATATTTAACTGTCACATTTAACTACACGCACACACACACACACACACACACACACACCTGTGCCTCCCCCTAAACTCTTTGACTACTTAGACTACTGAGTGTAACTAATTCTCCCACACTAGGATATTGTCTTGTGCTCTTGGGCCTTTGTGTTTCTTTCAAGCCTTTCATTCCACTGGTGTTTGTGCTCAGGCCTGTGTGCAGGCGGTTTGGAGGGGATGGGGGGATATTTTTCATTACAGGTCTTTAATGACAACAATTAGCCCCTTCTTATACCTTCTTATGCCCAGGATTCTGTAGAATCCCAATGAGGACCCACATGAAGTGGCATTAGGGCTGTCTGAATGTCTGAAGTATTGAAAAACAGATACTTATTGGTACGAAAGCTAGAATCAAACTAAATACTCTATTCAGCAGGTATTGATTCTCAAGAAGTCACATTGACAGGACAGAAATTAACCTTTCCTGAATCGCTGAATGTTGAGCTGTATCAGAAAACGTATAAGAACACATGAATTAGTATACACCATGGACCACTATGGAACCTACCTGGACCCCTGAGGGATTACACACATAAGGCCAAATGGGAATAGAAAAGAAGTAGTAGAAAAAGAGTACTATTTGTTAATGTTATAAATTACTTTCTATAGTCAAAATAATGAGTGCTTTTTATTATAATTGTGGTCAGTTTTGAGGATTGAGTCTATTCCTTCGTATCCAAATCGAGCTTGAAATTTTGGTGACAGGTGACACTAAAGTTCTCACTTTAAATTTTGCTTTCAGGCAGTAGAATGTGGTTGTAGGTTTGGTCAAGCGGTAACGGAGGGAAACGGGCAGATTTTTTTAGATTTAAATGTCTCTTATTCAGAAACTAGAGGGGCTATTGAAATAAGTAAAGTATCAGAATGTAGGAAAGAGTTAACACTCCAACAGGTTAAAGTTAAACCTGTGATATTCTTTCAAGTTGTTCACAAAAAATTTAAAAACTCATGTCAGTAATGGAGGGAATGAAATATGCAGCACTTTTTGGGCAATAAATCCAAACAGTGATAACGATAGTTACGACTGTAACTGCGGTTCTATGAATCCCGGATGACCGCCAGAGGCGGTGCTTCAAGCACTGGATGATCATCCTTGCGCATGCGCAGGTCGAGAATTTAGTAACAACAAAGTCACCCTTGACCTCCGGTGGCTCAGGTGAGTCTATATAATCACGTGACACCGGAAGCTCAGTCCCTCAAACCTTCTCGCGAAAGCACGAGGATTCCGAGGGACCGGGCACTCTGGCGGTCATCCGGGATTCATAGAACCGCAGTTACAGTCGTAACTATCGTTCTATTTCATCCCTACTGACCGCCAGAGGCGGTGCTTCAAGCACTGGATGACGAATACCAGCAAGGTCACAAGGAATCATCAACAAAAGGAGAAACCGTACCTCACTGTGATGTAGAGGAGTGTTGTCGGAGAACCCCCTCCAGTGGGTGTGGGGAAGCTATGTTCACCCTGTAGAATCTCGCAAAGGTGTTGAGGGAGGTCCAGGACGCTGCCGAACAAATGACATCTAATGGCACACCATTAACGGCGGCCCATGATGTCGAAAGGCCTCTTGTGGTGTGACACCGGACCCCAGATGGCAACGACTGTCCCTGTAAAGCATATGCTTTTGTGATGACCCCCACAATCCAGTGTGCGAGGCGCTGTTTTGAAAGGGCCTGACCTCTGCGTGAGCCAGCAAAACAGACAAACAAGCTATCAGACCTCCGCACAGAAGCTGTGGAGTGAACATATGTCTCGAGCGCACGTACGGGACACAGCAATTCAGCGGGAGTTCCTGTCTCAAAACGGGAAAGCTGCAGTGGTAGACTGTGCTGTGTAGACGAGGGCACCTTTGGAACAAAAGCTGCATCCGGCCAAAGGGAAACCCCAGAACCATCAGGATGCCAGCGGCAACAGGATTCGTGAACAGACAGAGCATGTAGCTCACTCACCCGTTTAGCGGAAGCCATGGCCAACAGGAATGCAGTCTTCATCGAGAGCCATTTGAGGTCGATCTGTGCAAGTGGCTCAAATGGAGGAGCCCGCAGGGCCTCAAGTACAAGGGAAAGATCCCACGTTGGGACAACAGAGCGATTGGGTGGACGCAAGCGGCGCGCACCCTTCAGAAACACCAAAATATCCTGGTTACGACCAACATTAGAGCCATTCCACCCTGCATGCCAGCAATTAATGGCAGCAACGTATACCTTTAGGGTAGATGGCGTACGTCCCTGATTTAGTAACCCCTGCAGGAAGGTAAGAACCATGGAAATGGGGCAGTGAACCGGGTCCTGCCCCCTGTCACGACACCATGTGTCAAAGAGCCTCCACTTGCAAGAATACAACCTGCGTGTAGATGGGGCACGTGCATTGGTCATTGTGTCCCCTACTGCTCCGGCATATCCTGAGAAGGCTAAGCCGGGCCTTGTAGGGGCCACACCCAGAGTTTCAGGCGACCGGGGTCGGGATGCAGAATCTGACCCCCCAGTTGCGACAGGAGATCCCTCCTGGAGGGAAGACGTTGTGCAGGGCCGCTGCAAAGCCTGAGCAGCAGAGGAAACCAGGGCCTCGCTGGCCAGAATGGAGCCACCAGGAGAAGACTGTGGCCTTCCTGAAGGACCCGGAGCAGTGTTTGAAAAATCAGAGGAAACGGTGGGAACGCATAAAGAAGGGTTCTGGGCCAGTCGTGAGCCAGTGCATCCTGACCCAGAGGGCTGGCACACTCCGTCCATGAAAACCAAAGGGGGCAGTGCGTCGTCTCCTGGGAGGCAAATAGGTCCACATTCGCCCTGCCGAACATCTCCCAAATGTGTTCCACCACCTCTGGGTGAAGCCTCCATTCTCCTGGCAATGGCCCCTGCCGAGACAGGAAGTCTGCCGCTGTGTTCCGAACCCCCGGAATGTGCACAGCTCTCAGACTGGCAAAACGCGGCGCAGCCCATGTCAGGAGGAGTTGCGCCATCCTCAGCAAGCTCTCTGACCGGGTGCCTCCCTCGTGGTTTAGGTGAAAAACCACACTGGTGTTGTCGCACCGCACTACCACATGTCGTCCTCGCAGGTATGGGAGAAAATGATGTAGAGCAAACCAGACGGCCATGAACTCCAGACTGTTGATATGAAGCCTGCTCAGGCGTACAGACCACAACCCCTGTGCTGTCCGTCCCTGCCACGTTGCACCCCAACCCACTAGGGACGCATCTGTGTTTACAACCTCCCTCCTGGATGGAAGGGGACCCAGAGGAACGCCTCGCAACATGAACGCCTCGCTCCACTGAGACAGGGATGCCATGCACTGAGAGGTGACAAGTAGACGTCGCCTTCTGTGGGCATGACAGGCGGGGTCCAAGTGCAGGCCATTGAGCCACATCTGAAGTGGGCGCAAGGACAGGAGCCCTAGAGGAACCACAGCCGAGGCAGCTGTCAGTTTGCCAAGAAGGCTGAGGAACTTTATGTACGGGAGGGACATCCCGCACTGGAACTCCGGGAGCATGTCCAGAATGTCCCTTATGCGCTTCGGTGAGGGACGTGCTGTCATTGCCCGGGAGTCGAGAACCATCCCGAGAAAAGTGGTCACTTGCGATGGTACCAAACAACTCTTTGCCACGTTCACTCGTAGACCCAATCTGCTCACGTGCCTGAGCACCGTCTGTGTATCCCGAAGGACCTGATTGCGGGTGGGAGCACAGATGAGCCAATCGTCCAGATAGGGCAGAATTCTTAACCCCTGGACCTGCAAGGGAGACAGGGCAGCGGAAACACACCTCGTGAACACACGAGGGGATAGAGATAGGCCGAATGGAAGGACCTTGAATTGGAAGTGCTCCCCTCGAAAAGCAAAGCGAAGAAACCTCCAATGGTGAGGAGCAATGGGGACATGAAAATAGGCATCTTTCAGGTCTATGGAAGTGAACCAATCCCCGGGAAGGATTGCCTGAAGGACCTGCTTGACTCCCAACATCTTGAATGGGAGGACTTTCAAAAACATGTTCAGACCCCGGAGGTCCAAGACTGGACGCAGATCGCCTGTCTTCTTTGGTACCAGAAAATAACGAGAATAAACCCCCCCCGGATCCAGCAGGGGGTCCACAGGAACTATCGCACCCTTGTCCAGCAAGGTACGTATTTCTTGAGCCAATGTATGTGCCTTTACTGTGTCCCCGATAATAGTCATCTTGACTTGACCGGGAACAGGCGGCCGGCGGCGGAACTGTAGTTGATAACCCCGGGACAAAGTGGCCACCACCCAAGTATCCGGGCTGTGGGTGGCCCAGTATTCGAGTTGTTCCCTGGTAAAATGTCCCACCGCCGGTACCACAGCTTCACCTGGTTGACCCCTGGCCCTTGGAGGGCTTGGGGGGGCGGCGCCTGGGCTGGAGAGACCGAGGAGGGTGGAAATCTTGGGTACGGACCCGTGGAGCAGCCCCAGTATCCGAGCTACGAGGTGCAGCAATGGAGTGGGGCCGTACTGGATACCTTCGAGAAGAAGGAGGAGGGGCAGCCGGGGTCGTCCGATGAGGGGCTCGTCTGTGAAGCCCCGCCAACTGCTGTCTCGTGCGAGTAGCCTGGGCTGTACGTTCCAAGGCTTCCAGGGCAGCGGAGCCAAACAACTCTCCAGGGACAACTGGAACACTCCGCAATGTCCGCCGACTGGCTTCCGAGAGAGGGGATTGTGCCAACCAGACCTGACGCCGGGCTTGAACCAATGTTGACAATAGACGCCCAAGTTCCCGAGACATGAGGGCGAAAGCTTGCAAGGATGCATCAAGTAGTCCTTGCGTAGGTTGGTCCACTGGCAGAGCCTCCAATGAAACAGACAGGCCAAGCAGCAGATGGGACAGAGAATTCCCAATTCGACCCATGCGGGCTCCCATATCATACGCTTTACAGAGCAGATCGTCTGTAACACGGCATTGCGGTCGCGGACACCGGGCATTCGTCCGCAGTGTCTCTTCAGGGGGAACAATAAGTGAGGCGACGGCCGGCTCCACTGCCGGCATGTGTCCCAAACCAAACACGTGAGGGTCCCGCATTGCTGCCAATGCTCGACCATCTGAAGTAGGCCTCGAAAATGCCTTGGTATCCGTCCAACAGGCATGAAGTTCCTTCACATATTCTGTTGATGGAGGAACCGCAAAGTGAGAAGCAGTAGCCTGCCGGCGAAAGAAGGCACTAGAGGGAGCCGTTTCAGTCAATGGCACATCCAATTTTAAACGGCCAAGAGCTGTGCGTATTGCTACAGTGACAGACTCATCGCTCTCAGCCTGAGAACAGGTAGAGCGTAGGGACCCCGAGTCCGAGACTTTAGAACTCAGGTCATCACATCCCATTTGAAAATGGGTGTCAGAGGCCGCCACAGACATGGCATCATCACATACAGAGGCCACATCCTGCTGTTGGTGGGGAGGAACCACACGGTTGGCATCCGCCTGAAGGTTCTGAATTAAAGCCCGCATCTGGGCTAATTCAGATGTCAATGTATCCACCTTAGCAGACAGCGTCCCCGGAACTCCCTTCTTGGGCTTCTTACGGGGAACACATTCCTCCCCAGTAGAATGCCTCTTGTTATTAACAGGCTGGCCAGCCGGTAAAAGGTCTGAAGGTCCCGCAGACATCCAAGAAGAGGGCTCCCGAAATGCAGCCAAACGGGCCAAACGCACAGACCGGGGCAAAATACTGCATTTAGAACATGCATCCTCGGTGAGGGCCTCCTGCAGATGTTCCTCCCCTAGGCAGGCGGGACACAGGTCATGCCCATCATCAGGCTGTAGTGGAGCCATACAGGACTGACAAGAGAAGGACTCGAGCATCGTGGCGGCGTAACGCAGCCCAATATAGGAGAAGTCCGTACGCTAGAGTCGTGTCGAGCAGAAAACGCCACCAGCGACTCCACAATAAACCCACGTGTACCAGCGAAGATGAGGCCGGATCAGGTCGAGCAGGGAACGCCACTAGTGACCTGCCGACAACGCCGTATAGTAAACCGGGAGCTCAGTAATAGGGTCAGGTCGAGCCGGGACGCTACTCGTGACCCGCATCGCCAATACGGCTACAAACAAAGTGACGGAAACTGGCCGAACACGGCGAATCCGAAGAAACAATAAATCAAAGTTAAACGGAAAACTAAATACAAGCCGAAAGCGGCTATATCAAAACAGCAACGTAAATCTACCGAGCGTGTAGCTACGGCGAATCCAATGTAAATAAGAGCAGCCTACCTCCACAACGGATACCAGTAGGCCGATCCACTGCTTGCGCAGCCCCAGGAGGGCGAGGGAACTCGCAGCACCGACTGTTATACAGTCACGGGGCTACATGCGACAAGCAGCGATAACAAAACAGTGGGAATAGCAAAGGTTTTTGCAACACATCCACCATGCAACCTGCGTGCGAGAAGGTGAAAAGGGACTGAGCTTCCGGTGTCACGTGATTATATAGACTCACCTGAGCCACCGGAGGTCAAGGGTGACTTTGTTGTTACTAAATTCTCGACCTGCGCATGCGCAAGGATGATCATCCAGTGCTTGAAGCACCGCCTCTGGCGGTCAGTAGGGATGAAATAGAACTAGTGGTTCTCACTTACATATCCTTAACAAACTGGTTTGAATATTTGCTTCATATACTTTTCTACCATATGGTACAAGAACCTCTTACGTTTTGAGTAATGAGATTTTTTATTAAGAAAAGTCATGGTAACGGAGGGAAAAGTAACAGAGGGAAAATTGTGCAAACAAGTAGAAGGTGCAGGATTTTACATAATTTGTCAGTTTTTTTCTTCTAAATACTTTAATATTACTTCAAAATGAAAGGAAACTATTTCTATAAAATATGTCAGTCCTTCCAAGCAAATTTTTTTTATCATTTTAAGTTTTATTTTATTTTTTAAATCATGTACCTTCATCAACAGTTCAAAGATGGAATAACACAAGATATGATGAAATACATCCATTTATTTACATGATTTGCAGGTCTTTGAAATTTGGGAAATAATTTTTGTTCCATGTTTCATACATGGTCTGTTGAAAACGTATAGAACTTTAGAACCAAAAATTGTACAGAAAAAAGGTCAACAGTTTCATAAACTAGAGTACATATGTATCTGTTGAATACATTTTTATATCAGATGCATTAACTTGAATTTTTGGCCTTGCTGTTTACTTCTTGCTTGACCGGGTCCTTATGTTGTTTGTTTGTTTGTTTTCTCAAATTCATTCTGTTCCGCCTTGTGTTCCACTGTGTTTTAAACTCCATACAACTTCGCTAGAATAATTTGGATAATTTCAGACCTGGAATTGCCAATCTACTGAAAAAAGGTAAAAGGAGCTGTTCACTTGAAAACTACAACTTCATAACATCACAAAGTGGAATAGAACATTTTGACGATCAAGAATTATTCAAACTTGTGAATGAAACAAAACACATTATAACATGGCTTACAGCTCACAAGAGTCTTTTTCCTGTATTTTGTGAAATAAAGCTCTTTTAAATGTGAATGCACAGTTCACATCCTATAGAGAGCAAAGTGTAATTTTACCATTTTAAAAAGTTGTTCACACAGTGTGATTTCTCAAACAACCAAATATTTAGTGATCTGAATTTGGAAATTGTTCAACATTGACTACAAAATCCAGAAAATAACTACCACAGAGGACTCAAAATATTGTCCTCCAGATCAAATCTTTGATTATATGGGTAACTTAAAGAGGGAGTATTATGGAAAATTGTCATTTACAATTAGAATTTACAGTTACAAAGCATTATAACATGGTAGAAAGCTAAAGGTCCCTCATCAAAAACATGCCTGAAGAGGTTTTAGATGCCTTAGACTTTGACTTAGACATTTACAGACAGACAGACAGACTTTATTGATCCATAAAGGAAATGATTTGGACACAGTAGCTCACATAATATACAACATAATATAACATGATGAAGAGCAAAAATATAAATGCTACTAGAGATCATAAGAAGAAACAGTGCAAAGATGAAATGATTGTCAGGACATATCTGTTCCATAAGGGTGAGCTGTTGTACAGTTGTAGGGAGTATTATCTGGTCCATAAGGATGAGTTGTTGTGCAGTTGTAGGGAGTATTATAGAATGAATGTAGTCCTGTATCTCTCACTGTTTGAGTGGAGCTCTAGGAGCCTGTTAGAAAATGTGCTCCTCTGTCCCTCTATAGTTTGGTGCAGTGGGTGAATAGGAGTGTCCATGATGGAGAGCAGTTTGTCCAGTGTCCTCATGTCCCTCACTGTGACAAATGTCTCCAGCTCACAGCCGATCATGTGAATAAAGTAACAATATTTTGGACCAAGATGTAATATAAGCTGAATGGATATACTGGTTGTTTCCCTGAGCTCTCCTCTGGTGGATGTGTACACAGGCCCAACAGCTGACCACTGTCCTCCCCAGGGACCCTCACAGCTGACCTCAGGGTCAGCCATGACAGGAGCTGACAGGAGCAGAGTCACTCAGAGCGGCGGGAACACAGCTCCTCTGGAGATCTCAGCCTGATCCACAGCGTTCCCCGCCCAGCATTAATGCAACCACAGGCATCATCAGTTTTCACACAGAACTGATGATGCTGGTATTAACATGTTCTGTTTACAATTTACTTTTGGTAGAGTTTGACAATTTATTTATTTCTAGGTTAAGCTGATTTAATCGAGCAAACTAATATGCCTTTGTCTTTCATCAATCAAAATGTTTTTGCTCTTCCACACTACAACTGCACAAATTTAATTTAAAAAAAATGTTCTTAAAAGTTAAAAGTGCTCTATGTAACTTGCTCGTTTCCACTGTCAAAGGTTTGTTTGGTCTTCAGCTTTAAACTATTGAATAACTTTTGCCAGATTCTTCTTATTCAATTACAAGTATTTATTGCTGTGTTACAGATCTGACCTGTAACTTAGAACCAGACATTAAACAAACAAGTATTTATAGAGATGATTTTGATACTGTATTGCATATTTGAGTAAAAGATGTGACAATAAGTTAACCATGCTATATTAAAAATTACATTTGTGCAAATACATTGGAAGTTTTAAAAACAAGATTCAAGTGTAGCCTACTTTTAAATCCACTCATTTGCACAAATATTTGCTCTAAACTAGGGGTGGGCAAACTATGGCCCGGGGGCCGTATGCGGCCCTTTAAACCTTTTAATCCGGCCCGCCGAACTGGAATAAATTACAATAATAAACCTTGTTGATGTTTTATTTGTCATGCATTTCCAGCATTTCCCAGTAGATGGCGCACTATATATACATTGAGTTGCGGTGTATTATGTTGGCCGCAATGCATTATGGGAAAGTGTTCTTACAGAAGTTATTCGGACCATGAGTGAAGTAGTTGATGCTTAAGATATAAGACTGCACTGCTTTCATTTTGAGTTGGTAAAAATCAGTCAAGAAAACCCATGGACTCTGAGTTGTAATTATTAATGTGCACAACATTTTGTAGTCAGTTTTTTTTTACCACACTCACAGGTGTATATCTGTGGTTATTTGGCATGAGCTTTGTTTTTGAGCTATTACCAGTCATATTTGGAAGTGGTGAACTAATGATATACATTCACTCGTGGTGTGCAGTGGAACAGGTCTGAACAGTTTTATGTGTTCTGAATCTTTCACAGCAGTGATGAAACAGGTAGCCTGTGTCTGAAGTCCTACATAAATGTGAATAAGAATGTAATGAATCTGAGCTCTTAACACATTATGTCCTGTCTCCTGTCCGGCCCTTCAGTCAAACTTTAGGACCCTATGTGGCCCGCGAGCCAGAAAGTTTGCCCACCCCTGCTCTAAACTATAGCATTAGCATTTGTTGTCCATAAGAAGGCAGTACATTGTTTATGGACTGTGGCCTAATCCATTTAAGCGACAAAACATTTCAAGGCTAGTTTATTTGTACTTAATTCAATTGTTTATTGTTTAATATGATATAATTTAAATAAAATACTTATCAATGTCAAATAAATGAAATTATTTATGGGTTGCAACATAGAATTCTAAACAACCTCAGAGCTGGTCAGACACTGCCCTCTTGTGTCAGAAAAGTGCAAAAAGGTTTTCACAGTTCATAGAGTCCCATGTGTGGTAAAGTCCAAAGGTTTGTAATCCAGAATCTTTGTACCCTGGGACTGTGTATGGAGACATGGACAAGACTTTGGATCACTAATGAGCAAGACACTGTAATAGACTATATATTTATTTGCATCTTGCACACCTCATAAATGTCACATACCCATCTGCCCTAACACTCAGTCATGTTCAGTCTGTCTGCAGTTTCTGCTGGACCGTGTGGTCACCTTTAGAGCCGCCCAGGCAGCCTGGACTCTTGCCCAGAGAGGGGTCCTTGGCCCACTGTTGTGGGGTCTTGGCCTGAATCGCCAAAGCGTGGACTCTGGTGCTCAGCTCCTCCTTCAGGGTATCATTAACCAAGCGGTGGCACTGTAGAAGGGACAGACCCTCAAAGCAAGGGCTGACCACCAGCACCCTGAAGTGAGACTCTGAGCCTGGGGGGACTGCATGCATGTGGCTCTCATTGTGTACCTCCAGGTGCTCTGGCTGCAGAGCCCCCGTCAGCTTAGCTCTTATGGAGGTCTCCACAGGGCAGCTGGGATCAGACGCCATCAGTGGCCGTGAGTGGAGAAGACGTGTGCAGAGCGTGCGCACACACGTTGAGTTTTGGGACAGCATCAAAACAACACTAGAGGAACAGATAAGAACACTTTAACTCTCTGAGCAGTGTGTATCAATAGATTACAGTTCACTAATAGTAATAGTAGTGGTGAGGGTGGTTGTATGTAGGGTTGACAGCAAAAACAGTGGTGAGGATTTCACTTTTCACAATTGAGGACGGGAAGGTTATTGGTAGATATTATTATACTCTGCTGTTAGTACGGCCGACTGCCGGTACACCGGACGGTCGCTCTGGAACGACACAGAGTGCCAGTCCGCTTATGGTATGGACAATTTTACGCACAAAACCGTCTGTCACCGTCGCCGCAGAGCGGGCATGTTGAGTCCGCTACTGCCTTGGATGATCAGGTCCTGTGTGCCGCGACTGAGTGCGCGCATAACGCCCGTCTGTGTCCTACTGCATTACGGTAATAAAAAGACACGCCACACTCACCCATGCGCTCACCTCATTAAGCAGCAGCGGCGACAGCAGCTTCCATCTTGTCTTTCTCCCTCCTCTTCTTCTGCTAGGAATTTACGTCGGTTGGCAATCGTAAAGTACGCATTACCGCCTCCTACTGTGGCGAGCAGTTCTTTGTGCTTGTATTTACAGTGTGTTACCTCAGACTTCTTCATTCCCATTCATATAAATATATGTGTAAATATTAACATATATATATAAATAAATAATAATATATATATATATATATATATATATATATATATATATATATATATATATATATATATATATATATATATATATATATATATATATATATATATATATATATATATATATATATATATATATATATATATAATGTTATATATATATATATATTTGTTTGTTTATTTATTTTTTCTTTTCTGAAATGTTTTAAGAAATTTTGCCACATCCCATTTAGTCGACTAATCAATTGACAAGACATGTCTTTAACCGACTGTTTTTATACTGCTTACAGTTATAAAAATCACACTTCTACTTTCGTGTTTCAAGTTTTTTTTTTTATTTTATGTTATATGGCCCCTCCATGAATCATCACCTTAATGTGGTGGAGGGATCTGAGTGCCCAAATGATCCCGGGAGCTGTGTTGTCGGGAGCTTTATGCTCCTGGTAGGGTCACCCAAGGCAAACAGATCCTGAGGAACGGGTCAGACTAAGAATGGTTCAGAAGCCCCCTATGATGAGCATACCAGCAAAGCCAGTTTTTTCGCCCGGAATAGTGTTACCGGGACCCTGGAACCAGGCCTGGGGTGGGTGCTCAACGGTGAGCGTCTGGTGGCCAGGCCTTACCCCACGGGCCCAGCTGGGCACAGCTCAAAAGAACGGCGTGGGGTCGCCCTTCCCTGGGCCCACCACCCATGGAAGGATCCATACGGGGCCAGTGCAGAGAGATCTGGGTGGCAGACAAAGGCAAGGGCCTCAGCCACTGGATCTCCAGACATGGAGACTAGTTATGGGGACATGGAATGTCACCTCACTGGGGAGGAATGATCCTGAACTTGTGCGGGAGGTTAAGCGCTACCGACTAGATATAGTCAGCCTCACCTCCACACACAGTTTAGGCTTTGGAACCCAACTCCTTGAGAGGGGCTGGACTCTCTATTTCTCTGGAGTTGACCGTGGGGGGCAGCGGCGGGATGGTGTGGGCTCATTGCACCACAGCTCAGCCACTGTGTGTTAGCTTTCGCCCTGGCAAACGAGAGGGTCCCGTCCCTGCGCCTTCAGGTCAGGGAGGGGTCTCTCACTGTGGTGTCGGCCTACGGGCCGAACAGCAGTGCAGAGTACCCGGAGCTCTTGGTGTCCCTGGGAGGGGACTCTGTTGTTCTACAGGGGGACTTCAACGCCCATGTGGGGAACAACAGTGACACTTGGAGAGGGGTGATTGGGAGGAACGGCCTCCCTGATCTGAACCCCAGCGGTGTTCTGTTACTGGACTTCTGTGATAGTCACAGTTTGTCCATATTGAACACCATGTTCGAGCACAAGGATGTCCATCAGTGCATGTCGCACAAGGACGCCCTTGGCTGGAGGTCGATGATCGACTTTGTCGTCATGTCATCTGACCTCCAGACTGCGTGTCTTGGACACTCAGGTGAAGAGAGAGGCTGAGCTGTCAACCGATTACCACTTGGTTGTGAGTTGGGTTCACTGGTGAAGGAGGAAACCGTAAAGGCCTGGCAGGCCCAAGCAAGGTGGAAAGGCTTTGGGGGTGGATGAGATCTGTCCCAAGTATCTTAAGTCTCTGGATGTTGTGGGGCTGTCTTGGCTGACACGCCTCTTCAACATCAGGAGGTGGTCGGGGACAGTACCTCTGGACTGGCAAACCGGGGTAGTGGTCCCTCTGTATAAGAAGGAGGACCAGAGGGTGTGTTCCAGTTACCAGGGAATCACACTCCTCAGATTCCCCGGTAAGGTCTATGCCAGGGTACTGGAGAGGAGAATCCGACTGATAGTCGAACCTCCAGGAGGAGCAGTGTGGTTTTCATCCTGGAACACTGGACCAGCTCTACACTCTCCATTGGGTGCTCGAGGGTTCATGGGAGTTTGTCCAACCAGTCCACATGTGCTTTGTGTGGGGGGTGCTCTGGGAGTATGGCGTTCGGGGTCCTTTGCTAAGGGCTGTCCGGTCCCGTATGACTGGAGCAGGAGCTGTGTTCACGTTGCTGGCAGAAAGTCAGACCTATTTCTGGTGCATGTTGGACTCCGCCAGGGCTGCCCTTTGTCACCGGTTCTGTTCATTGTATTTATGGACAGAATTTCTAGGTCCAGTCAGGGGCCGGAGGGGGTCCGGTTTGGGGACCACAGGATCTCATCTCTGCTGTTCGCAGATGATGTTGCCCTGTTGGCTTCATCGAACCAGGACCTGCAAGGTGCACTGGGGTAGTTTGCAGCCGAGTGTGAAGCAGCTGGGATGAAGATCAGCTCTTCCAAATCTGAGGCCGTGGTTCTCGACCAGAAAAAGGTGTCTTGTCCTCTAAGGGTGGGTGGAGAGTCCTTGCCTCAAGTGGAGGAGTTCAAGTATCTCTGGGTCTTATTCACGAGTGAGGGGAGGATGGAGCGTGAGATTGACAGACAGATTGGTGCGGCGTCAGCAGTGATGCGGTCACTGTATCGGACCATTGTTGTGAAGAGGGAGCTGAGCCAAAAGGTCATGGTCGTGAGCTCTGGGTAATGACTGAAAGGACGAGATCGACAAGATACAAGCGGTCGAAATGAGTTTCCTCCGCAGAGTGGCTGGGTACTCCCTTAGAGACAGGGTTAAGAGCTCAGTCACACGGGAGTAGCTCAGAGTAGAGCCGCTGCTCCTCTACGTCGAGAGGAGCCAGTTGAGGTGGCTCGGGTATCTGTTCCGGATGCCTCCTGGGTGCCTCCCTCAGGAGGTGTTCCAGGCATGTCCCACTGGGAGGAGGCCCCGGGGAAGACCCAGGACACGCTGGAGGGACTATGTCTCTGGGCTGGCCTGGAATCACCTCAGGGTCCCCCCGGAGAAGTTGGAGGAAGTGTCTGGGGTGAAGGAAGTCTGGGAGTCCCTGCTTAGACTGCTGCCCCAGCCCAGCCCCAGATAAGCGGAAGAACATGCATGAATGGATGTTTTTATGAAGCCTTTCCATTTCTTCAAGCCCAAAACTATGTGTTCAGCTTGAGGAGCACATTTTTAGATCAATAAACACATTGAAGAGAAACTTGCAAATACAATTTTCACACATTTATTCTTCTGGTGTCATATTCATGAGATTCTCACATCCACATTGAACAAAACAAAAAAACATCACCTCAAATTCACATGAGACAGAATCATTACAGAACCCTGCTTTACCAAAACGCAAACATCACTTATATATGTTTTCTAGACAGTATGGTCCACACATGGATACTACACAAACTACAACACAGTACGATGGCAGGTGACCAATGGAAGATACACTCTCAAATTCAGTTATTGCTTTGACCACTTGAAAGGAGACCAGCTCAGACACATGTCCCTCTGTGTTCCACTGTGTCCCTCTGGTTGAGTGTCCTTGTTTGTGTGCTTCTAATACGTCTCCAATTTCAGATGTGCTATTAATCCCATTGCACTGCACCACCATGTCACTTGAACTTAAAGAGGCGGTATTTGACTTCTATGGGCTTTAAGTGCTGACACATTTAGATCACCATGTTACCTTTCATTGTTTTGAAAATGCTGTATTCGCTAAAAACATTGTATTTACATGTTTTATATGTTTCGCTATTGTTTTTGACTCTCAAAGTCTCTCCTCCCTTTGCTCCCTACACTAATTCACTCCCCTTTCAGAGAGCTATAACAACACAATCAGCATGCATCCTGCTAACGAAACTTCTCCAGATTGCATCCAGTTTATGTTGTTGTGTACAGTTTTGTATCATATTTTTATATATTTATGGAGAATTGTTGTGTGGGAGCATGGGCGACGTAGGCTTGCAGGCAGAGCCTTGCACAGAATCTTCCAGCTCATAATAAAGAGGGTTCACATGGGGCCCGGAGCGATCGCTAAAATACTCAAATGTGTATGGGTGACATCTAAAGCCTCTTCAGGCTTGTTTTTGATGAGGAACAACATTATAACATGGCAGAAAGCTAAAAAAAATAAAAATAAAAATTGCATAATAACCCCTCTTTAACTCACAGGTGTTAAAATAAAAGCAAAAATAAAACACACTGCCAAAATTGCAAGTCTAGCCATCGTTAAAATTATTGTATATTCATGATCATGGTTGAACACTTTTGACAAATTAAAACTATACTGCGGAACATTCTCTTTGGAGATAAATGTTTTCTGCCATACTGTAGGAAATTATAGCCAATGGTACAACATTTCTATGGAGACAAGCAAACCCTCCTTCAGGCTGAATAAGGGTTAGGTTTGTGGAGATGCAAGCCCACAGTAAGGATGCATGTTCTATGTTTTTAAGTGCTATTAATAAAACAACACACAAAACGTGCATTTATTTTTGTCTTTTTATACTGTGCCTTTAATATGTTTCTACTAGTTAAAAGATAATATAGCTTGAGATAACTTAAAGGGCACTATTCAAGATGTGGGGTCTGAAACCTGCCTGAAATATTCCACAATATGGCATTAAATGTAACATGGAGACAAGAAGTGACCTCACCAAAGCAATTATATTTTAGCCAAAAAAAAAACAACAACAAAAAGCCTGAAAAAGATAGTGTAAATAAACCATACACATTCCAGGCAAATTTCTATTGTTTTGCATCAATTTCAAACTGCAATGATCATAAAAATCAGCATAACAATACACCATTCAAATCTGATGACCACAGGAAATGCATTGTTCAGTTGTAATCATATCATCTCAGATTTCAAATTGAATTGCTTTCCTCTCTCATGATCTGAAAACAGATATAATGGCACTTATACATTATATCCAGCTGTGCCTACTAAAATATGTCATGCTATGTAGATTGTTTGTAATTAGGCCTACCATGAATAATATGTTCTGTGTAGTTTTAACATGATCAATATTTACATTATAAGACAGAATACAACATAAACTTGTGCTACACTGGTCCCAATGTGCTCCAGTCTGTGATGGGAGTCGGAACTTATCAAAAACTACTGTATGTTCAAATCGACCACGCGTTTTTTTGGCATTTGTCTGGACACTTCATATGGCACATTTACAGATGAGGCTTGAAGGTCCTGTCAGATGGGAGTGATATGGGTGAAAAGCAGAGTGTCCCTCCTGAGCCCCCTTATATCAGTGCACCCATGGGTGTCTCTATGGCTGCTATCCTAATGTGGCAGTTCAAATCAGAAAGTGTCATGGTGACGTTTATACCGACAGACTCTTGGCAGTGGTATCTCACATGTAGTTTATTAGTGTTTATTTTGTCTCACCGTAATTATAACAGTAAATGTTCCAGAGGAGGGTAGAGTAGCCACAAATTGTACTCAAGTAAGACTAACATTACTTCAAAATAATATTACTCAAGTAGAAGTGCAAAGTAGTGGTCCAAGAGATGACTAGAGTTTAAAAAAAAAAAAAGGTAAGAGTAGCTGTTAGGATGTAACATCTGATTTATTTGGAGTACTGTTACTTCAATATCAATATTACCCAAGTAGGAGTAAAACTATGCTGGAAGAAAAGTACTCTAAAAAGTACAGTTTCTTTAAAAAGGTACTCAGGTAAACTGAGTAAATGTACTACCCACCTCTGAAACATTATAATTAGCAGAAGTTATAAAATTGTCAGTACACAAGTTGCACATTAAAAGCTAGAAAAACAGACTTGAATATAAATAAGACGAGCATGTTTCCACACACCATTTGAATGACTGGGAGAGCACTTACAGGCAATACATGTCCATTGGCTCCAGTGTATTGCTAATGACAAAAAACAATTCAAGTTTCTCACTGAAATCACATGTATTTCAGTTTAGTTGTTAAAGTAAATGTAAAGTTATGGGATAATTTAAGCACAGACGAGCTGATGAGTCTCCCTATGACATGCGCTCCAGCTGACATGCTTCAGTATAGACCAACTGCATTCACCTTAAATAAGTTAGTAAGTGTTCGCCTCAGTTAGTAGTTATCTTTGAGTATTTGAATAGATTTAGATTTTGATGAGCACTATTTAGATCATATTTAGATTACCATGTTAGATTTTATTGTTTTGCTATATTTGCTGAAAAAACTAACGTATTAACATTTTATGTAACATTTTTGTAGGTTTCACTTTTGTACAATGTTTTTGCATATTTATGGAGTATGCCATGTGGGAGCTTGCAGGCTTGTGGGCGGAGCCTTGTATTGGCTTGCTAACTATAAGGATTTGAATATAGCCTGGGAGATCGCTAAAATACTCAATCATGCATGGATGACATTTAAAACCTCTTCAGGCGTGTTTCTGAGGAGGAAACAATGATATAACATATACATTTAGCATAATATCCCCTCTTTAAAGGTGCACTGCGTAACTTAAAGTCTGTTGTCTCTATAGAGATGCTATTGCTTTGTTCATACCTGATCCTACCTATCCACTTTTTAATCTGCACTGAGACCTTTGATTGAGACACAAAGGCAACTCAGACATGCAGTGGAAATGTTGCAGCGGCATTAACTGCAACAGTTTACTGCAGCAAAACTTGAGTTTCCCTCAGGATCAAGTATTTCTCTCTCTCTGTCTTTGCTCCACATGATGACATTAAGCTTGAAGATAAGCAGGTGACACCACCAGGTCAAGTTACAGGTCAGATCTGTGATGAGGTGGTTACACTCAGAGAAAGAATACATGTTTTTCAAAGTCAAAAAAAAACAAAACAAAACCCTACATCAGAAATGTTACGGAGTGCATCTTTTACATGTCAATATATCAACTAAATACAAGTACTACAAAAAAAAAAAAAAAATCTGCTCTTGCTCTTCTTCCATCTTTAACTAGTCATAAATTAATGCATAAGAAAATGTGTTCATCTTGGTGTAAAACTATTCAAAATATTCAGAAATTCAGTACTCTGATTGGCTAATAAATGGAAACATGTTTTGTTTTGTTTTGTTATTTATTTATTTTTTTTTTATGAATTTGAGCCTTTTAAAGCCATTAAATGTTTACCAACATGAGGCCCATATTAAAACAAGTCCTAAAAAACCTTAGTGGTGTGGTGGTCAGCTGGAGCGCTGTGGTGATGCTCAACATTTCAGGTGAGGCTGGAATGTTGGAGACATTCACTTGGATAGTCTGTGCTTCGGATGTACAGCTAGGACACAACACATGGCCAAGGTAGTAAAGGGAACACACACCAATTGTGCCATTATTCAACAGTCAAAACAAACCTGGAATGTTCTAACATCTAGAACATGGCAGTCGGGACCCGGGGACACTGAGGACGGAGACACATCAAAAATGCTTCGAGTCCGAGGGCATTTTTGAATGTAGGTCACTTGAGCCACTGTGCTGCTTCATTCAGCTCAAATGAATAATGAGTGGTTATTGCATGGCTGTTATGGAGTGTCCATTCACAGTGTGCCCAGCCCATCAGTGGGATCTGGGGCCACACTATTTGAGCACCTGGCCCCTGGTTTCTGGGAGTTTGAGAGCCAGAAAGCTGCCGGCGGCCAGTGCTCCAGAGGCAAAGAGGATTGGCACGGCTTTAGTGATGCCCACAAAGGAGGTGAAGATACTGATGCCCAGGACCGCTGCCAACTTACACAGAGCATTCAGGAACCCAAAGGCCGTGGTTCTGAAAATAGACATTCAATTAAGTGAGCTTATCTACAAAAAATTACTACAATGTTAATAGTGCCATTGTTAAAGGGCCCATATTACACTCTTTTCTGATCTTCTGTCTGTTATAATAATAATAAATTAATTAATCATTGCATTTATATAGCGAATTTCAAGATACCCAAAGCGCTTTACAGTTCATTGGTTATTCACTCAACACTCAGTGGTGGTAATCTACTACTGTAGCCACAGCTGCCCTGGGGCAGACTGACAGAAGCAACGCTGCCAATCTGCGCCATCGGCCACTCCAACCACCACCATCACTCACACACACACACACCACTTTCATACGAGGCAATGTGGGTGAAGTGTCTTGCCTAAGACGCAACAACAGTTTTTGCCACTGGCGCCACAATACTACTACTACTACTACTACTACTACTACTACTACTACTAATAATAATAATAATAATAATAATAATAATAATAATAATAATAATGTGTTTTGTTGTGTTTTGTTTCATGTTAAACTCACAATCCTGCATATTTAGGCTTTAGTTCTTCTTTCAAACTGAAAACACTGCTGTTTCCTCCTCAAAAACATACCTATGCGTGTGTATTCACTATGTGTTTGAGAAATCCTTTATTAGTCTGTCTTCATATGTTCCACCTGGTGATGTCATGTGGTAATACAGGACATTTTGTGCTTTGCAGATAGACTAATAATAAAGGATTACTCAAACACATACTGGAACAAAACCAGGTATGTTTCTGAGGTGGTAACAGCATTTTTACATGCCTTAAAGCTCACAAGAGTCAATTTTGTGTAATATAAGACCTTTAACTTCATACACAAAGGTACACTGACAGGCAAAAATTTGGACACACCTTCTAATTCAATGTTTTGTTGTTTTTTTTTAGACAGAAGACATCAAATATATGATGTAAGAAAAAAGGTAAATAACTGAACTGTTTTATATTTTAGACCAAATTCACAACCCTTCCCTACCCTGGCCTTCTCTCACTGGGGTCAGTCCATATGAAATCAGTCATTTTCAAGGAATCTTCCCTATGAGCCGTGTCAGATTTGGCTGAAAAAAAATTCCAAACATGTCTAAAATCACCAAATGAAAGAATCTCAATTCCTTGAGTTGTTCCTGAGTTATGGCCCATTCAAATTTTGGGGCCATGCTCACTTTTTCTGAAGGGGGGGGGGACAGGGACAGCGCACATTTTTTACTTTAACCTTAAGAGGAGAGATGTAGAACAGGTCCTACCAGGCTGTAGGACCTGTGTTAAAAAAAACATGCAAACTCCACACAGAAAGGCCCCGACGACCCAGGGATCAAACCCGGAACCTTATTGCTGTGAGGCATGCGTGCTAACCACTCAGCCACCATGCCACCTTTGGACCCTTGGTCCCCCATGTGGGCACAGTTAGATGTTGATAATTTTTTTTAAAAACTTTGGCATATTCTGATTAGTTTAAAATATCATCTACTATTAACTTCCTTCATTTCAAAGGGATTTTTCAAAATGATCTCTCATGGGTCATTTCTGGTGGAGCTCAAGTACTTTTCCACCTGCAGAAAGGTTCAATTCCCTTTAATAGCCTTAAACACTATTTTGCATATTATAAGGGCTTGGAAAAGTGTCATTAATTCTTTGAGAAAATTCAACTATTAACTCTGTACAAAATTATGAAAAAAGGTTTGTTTGCATTATTTATTCTATTTTTATTTGAGTAAGATCATTTGTTATCTCACAAAGAAACAGCTTTTCATGGTGTAGAAGTAAAGCAACAAAAGTTAAGATAGTATTCATGGAAACTGATCAAAGGCAAATTACAATTGGAAAACTCATTATCTGTTGAATCACAAACTCTCTCATTCTATAACCATGACTTTCAGGACCACCATATGTGTATAATTTTTGCACCAAAATATTACAAGAAGGCAGAAACATTAATAAGGAAAAAATTGATACTGACACAAAAGTTACCAAAATACAATAATCTGGTCTGTTATTTGTTCAACTGCTAGAAATTATATTTTAAAAATTCAGTGTGAAAAACAACCTCAGCGGAAAATACCAACATACTGGAAAAAAGTGCCCATTTGGTCCCTTTGCCGCCTACATGTAGATCATCTGTATTGGCATCTTGCACACTAAGTGTTACTAACGACTAATGAACTTCACAAGTAATGTTTGGATCCTGTCACAATCTGGAGGGTCAAGGCGATAATCTCGTGCTCTTCTTCCCTGAATTTCTGGTACTTTAATACAACAGATTCTGTGCTGAAACGGGCCCCAACATGGTTCTGCCGATGTTCAGGAGGCCACATGAGGGTTCTGTCATCTTGATTCATAAATTTCACATAGACATCACCATGTTCATCTGAACGCTCTGAAATATTCCCAATGAACCACCTGATGTCATAAATAAATGCATGTATTGACCTGCTGGTACAGAGAGAAATCTGCACAATCTCATTTTGTATTTCAGATACTGGCACTTCAGAACATAAATGATCTTGAGATATTCTCCTCATTTCTAATTTACCATTTGACACCGGAATGAAACTGGGGTGTGATCTAGTACCATTCACAGTCTTTGTCCTGCTGTAGTGCTCTTCTAGTTTGGAAGTAAGTTCATGGTTTGTAATGCATTAAGAGCTTGTAAAGAAAAACTTCACATTCATTATGCTTTGTGAAGTTCACTCAAACATCTAGAGTGAGGTCAATATTTGATTGCTGTCAGTTGTCTTTTGCCTTTTACCGTGCCAACAAAACCATCACAAACAATTTACCACAAATAATCTCCAACTGTCTTCCCTCATATATATATATATATATATATATATATATATATATACCCCTCCTTGAACCGTCACCTTATCGTGGTGGAGGGGTTTGAGTGCCCGAATGATCCCGGGAGCTATGTTGTCGGGGGCTTCATGCCCCTGGTAGGGTCACCCAAGGCAAACAGGTCCGGGGGGACGGGTCAGACGAAGAACGGTTCAGAAGCCCCTATGATGAGTGTACGAGCAAGGCCAGTTACGTCGCCCGGATTGGCGTCACCGGGGCCTCACCCTGGAGCCAGGCCTGGGGTGGGTGCTCGCCAGCGAGCGCCTGGTGGCCGAGCCTCCCCCCACGGGGCTCGGCCGGGCTCAGCCCGAAGGAGCGACGTGGGGCCGTCCTCACGTGGGCCCACCACCCGCAGGAGGATCCATATGGGGCCGGTGCAGAGAGATCTGGGCAGCAGTCGACGGCGGGGGCCTCGACGACCAGATCTCCGGACATGGAGACTAGCTCTGGGGACATGGAATGTCACCTCGCTGGGGGGTAAGGAGCCTGAGCTTGTGCGGGAGGTTGAGTGTTACCGACTAGATATAGTCGGCCTCACCTCCACGCACAGTTTGGGCTCTGGAACCCAACTCCTTGAGAGGGGCTGGACTCTCCATTTCTCTGGCGTTGGCCGCGGGGAGCGGCGGCGGGCTGGTGTGGGCCTGCTCATTGCCCCACAGCTCAGTCGCTGTGTGTTGGAGTTCACCCCGGTGAACGAGAGGGTCGCGTCCCTGCGCCTTCGGGTCGGGGACAGGTCTCTCACTGTGGTGTCGGCCTACGGGCCGAACAGCAGTGCAGAGTACCCGGCCTTCTTGGAGTCCTTGGGAGGGGTACTAGACAGTGCACCGACCGGGGACTCCGTTGTTCTCCTGGGGGACTTCAACGCCCACGTGGGCAACGACAGTGACACTTGGAGAGGGGTGATTGGGAGGAACGGCCTCCCCGATCTGAACCCGAGTGGTGTTTTGTTATTGGACTTCTGTGCTAGTCACAGTTTGTCCATAACAAACACCATGTTCGAGCACAAGGGTGTCCATAAGTGCACGTGGCACCAGGACACCCTAGGCCGGAGGTCGATGATCGACTTTGTCGTCGTGTCATCTGATCTCCGGCCGCGTGTCTTGGACACTCGGGTGAAGAGAGGGGCTGAGCTGTCAACTGATCACCACCTGGTCGTGAGTTGGGTTCGCTGGCGGAGGAGGAAGCCGGAAAGACCTGGCAGGCCCAAGCGTGTAGTGAGGGTCTGTTGGGAACGTCTGGCGGAGCCCTCTGTCAGAGGGACCTTCAACTCGCACCTCCGGGAGGACTTCTCCCAGATTCCGGGGGAGGCTGGAGATATGGAGTCCGAGTGGGCTTCATTCTCGGCCTCTATTGTCAATGCAGCTGCTCGGAGCTGTGGGCGTAAGGTCTGTGGTGCCTGTCGCGGCGGCAACCCCAGAACCCGGTGGTGGACACCGGAAGTAAGGGATGCTGTCAAGCTGAAGAAGGAGTCCTATTGGGCTTTGCTGGCTCAGGGGACTCCTGAAGCAGCTGACGGGTACCGGCGGGCCAAGCGTGCTGCAGCCCGTGTGGTCGCGGAGGCAAAAACTCGGAGCTGGGAGGAGTTCGGGGAGGCCATGGAGAAGGACTATCGGACGGCCTCAAAGAGATTCTGGCAAACCGTCCGGCGCCTCAGGAGGGGGAAGCAGTTCTTCACCAACACTGTTTACAGTGCGGGGGGAGAGCTGTTGACCTCGACTGGGGACGTTGTCCGGCGGTGGAAGGAATACTTTGAGGATCTCCTCAATCCCACCGTCACGTCCTCCGAGGAGGAGGCCGAGGCTGGGGACTCGGAGGCGGACTCATCCATCACCCTGGCCGAAGTCACTGAGGTGGTTGGCAAGCTCCTTGGTGGCAAGGCTCCGGGGTTGGATGAGATCCGTCCTGAGTACCTGAAGTCTCTGGATGTTGTGGGGCTGTCTTGGCTGACACGCCTCTTCAACATCGCGTGGCGGTCGGGGACAGTACCTCTGGACTGGCAAACCGGGGTGGTGGTCCCTCTGTATAAGAAGGGGGACCGGAGGGTGTGTTCCAACTATAGGGGGATCACACTTCTCAGCCTTCCCGGTAAGGTCTATGCCAGGGTACTGGAGAGGAGAATCCGGCCGATAGTCGAACCTCGGATTCAGGAGGAGCAGTGTGGTTTTCGTCCTGGCCGTGGAACACTGGACCAGCTCTACACTCTCCATAGGGTGCTCGAGGGTTCATGGGAGTTTGCCCAACCAGTCCACATGTGTTTTGTGGATCTGGAGAAGGCATTCGACCGTGTCCCTCGTGGTGTCCTGTGGGGGGTGCTCTGGGAGTATGGGGTCCGGGGCCCTTTGCTAAGGGCTGTCCGGTCCCTGTATGACCGGAGCAGGAGCTGTGTTCGCATTGCCGGCAGTAAGTCAGACCTGTTCCCGGTGCATGTTGGACTCCGCCAGGGCTGCCCTTTGTCACCGGTTCTGTTCATTGTTTTTATGGACAGAATTTCTAGGCGCAGTCAGGGGCCGGAGGGGGTCCGGTTTGGGGACCACAGGATTTCATCTCTGCTGTTTTGCGGACGATGTTGTCCTGTTGGCTTCATCGAACCAGGACCTGCAATGTGCACTGGGGCGGTTTGCAGCCGAGTGTGAAGCGGCTGGGATGAGGATCAGCTCTTCCAAGTCCGAGGCCATGGTTCTCGACCGGAAAAAGGTGGCTTGCCCTCTCCGGGTGGGTGGGGAGTCTTTGCCTCAAGTGGAGGAGTTCAAGTATCTCGGGGTCTTGTTCACGAGTGAGGGAAGGACGGAACGTGAGATTGACAGGCGGATCGGTGCAGCTTCGGCAGTGATGCGGTCGCTGTATCGGACCGTTGTGGTGAAGAGGGAGCTGAGTCGAAAGGCGAAGCTCTCGATTTACCAGTCAGTCTTCGTTCCTACTCTCACCTATGGTCATGAGCTCTGGGTAGTGACCGAAAGGACGAGATCGCGGATACAAGCGCTCGAAATGAGTTTCCTCCGCAGGGTGGCTGGGCGCTCCCTTAGAGATAGGGTGAGGAGCTCAGTCACACGGGAGGAGCTCGGAGTAGAGCCGCTGCTCCTCCACGTCGAGAGGAGCCAGTTGAGGTGGCTCGGGCATCTGTTCCGGATGCCTCCTGGGCGCCTCCCTCGGGAGGTGTTCCGGGCATGTCCCGCCGGGAGGAGGCCCCGGGGAAGACCCAGGACACGCTGGAGGGACTATGTCTCTCGGCTGGCCTGGGAACGCCTCGGGGTCCCCCTGGAGGAGCTGGAGGACGTGTCTGGGGTGAAGGAAGTCTGGGAGTCCCTGCTTAGGCTGCTCCCCCCCCGCGACCCGGCCCCGGATAAGCGGACGAAAATGGATGGATGGATGGATATATATTATATATATATATATATATATATATATATATATATATATATATATATATATATATATATATATATATATACCAAACATATATGGTGCATTTGGTAGAGCCAAAAAGCATTGGCATGATTTTAACTTTATCTGTTATGTAGTATTAAAGATTTTTAATTATTTTGTACTTTTTGAGTGCCTTGTATTTGAGAATGGTCCCTTTACTGAAGAGCATCAAAAGGACAATTTTGCACAATCTCTGCACATACAAGTATTGCTGCTGCCCCCTAAAGTTTTGCAAAATATATGGTACATTGTAGCTAGTTTCTTTTTGTTCAGTATGTTTGATGCCTTGATGGCCTCACAAGGCTTAGACTCAGTCTAGCACTGTTTAAATAAATGGATCAGAATGGAGCGGCAGAGTTGACACTTTCCAGCTGGCACACAGTAGCACGGTTTGATGAGTGGGACCTACCTCTTATCTGAGGGGTACAGCTCCACGGTCAGGACATCCAGAGAGTTCCAGGAGGCAATGCTGATGCCTCCAAAGAGACAGAGCAGAGCGATCATGGCTGATTCACTGTTTCCGAAGGAGAGCAGGAAGCAGCTGACACAGGAGATCACACTGGAGCCCGCTGCATGGTACAACACAGCAGGTCAGCCAGTCTCTGCATAGCAACCAGCCTATATAAGACTGTGGGGCCTATTCTAACCAGACTATACATGGAAATGTAGGGTCTATCCTAACCAGTTTACATAATATTGTGGGACCTATCCTAACCAGCCAAGATGGAACTTTGGGGTCTACGTAGCTACTGTTGTCATGATACTAAGGAATAGGCTTGACACTCTGATTTTGACACCACAATGGTAATGAAAAGAATCTTGTTTTAGACAATATAACGTCATTCTCAACATAAATAATTGGTAAGGTATGGTAATAATTACCAAATTAATTCACAAGACCTCAAAATTTGACGTATTAACATCACTCAATGTGGCAAGGGTTATTTGTGATTTTTAAAAAGCTTCATAGCTAAACTTTATATTTTGGTGTGGTGGAGTTTCAGTGGTATCATAGTTATCTTTGTAGTGTTCAAACCCTGTGTCGAAAAATGCATTTTTAACACAAATCTGTATTTTGTTTTAGGCCATGTGATGCCTGTCTGTCTTTATTGTTTCAAAGCAGGGTCTCACAGAGTGCTGCAAAGTACAAGGATGACTCTCACAGAGGAGTATCTCCCATAGAACTAAGTCTATATCTACTGTTCCATGGATTGCTTCATGGTGTGTGGCCTTTTAAGTTTACATACATTTCTAATTCATGAAATAGAAAAAAACATAACACTGCTTCTGTTGAAATTAAAATTATTTTACTTAAATTAAAAAACTGAAAATCTAATCAAGTAGACTTTTTGTAACAATAATAATAACAATATAATGCCTTGCACTTGTAAAACGCTTTTGTCATAGACAGTCCCTCAAAGGGTGTCATAATTCATTCACACCATACTGGGTGATGGTAAGCTACTACTGTAGCCACAGCTGTCCTGGGGGCAGACTGGCCCCTTTGACCACCAGCAATCATTCATGCACACACCACATTCATACTAGGCAATGGTAAAGTGTCTTGTCTAAGGACACAATGACAGAGCTTGGTCACACCCAAAGAATAAATCTTAGATATGGAAGTTTTCAAAAATGACTGATAGCCCTTGCCACTAGGGTGATATTAAATGAGTTTAAATGAGGATATAGTTTTGATACTAGTTTTGTTATCGATTAGTATGTGATTTTAGATGATAGATACATAGCACCGTGTTGCCTGGAAATGTAGGGTCTATCCTAACAAGTTTACATAATATTGTGGGACCTATTCTAACCAGCCAACATGAAACACTGGGGCATATCCTAACCAGCCTATGCACCTTAGCCACTTTTGCCTCTAAATACTCCTAAATTGCGGTGGCACTTCCGGATCCTATTCATGTCAACAGAAAATTTGGGAAACATTTTCATCTCAAATATGACAAAAAGTCCATTCATTTACTTAAAATGTCACATTGTACCGATTCTCTCTCGGCTTTATAGTCCATATTGAACTTATTTGCTGTCAAGATCAGCAGCCCCATACAAAATAATACAACCCAAATGACGATGGCAGTGTCCATGGCAACTTCCAGAATAAGGTGAATATATAAGACTGTGGGGGTATCCTATCTAGCCTACATTACACTAAAGGCAAGAGTTCCAAAACAATTGCTGTGCTGCAAATAAAGTTCTCACTAAATAGTGCAGTATAATTAACATTGTATAACTCTAGAATTGTGATTGTGAATTCTGATACTGGTAATGTGTAGAAGTGTACCTACAATCATTATTTATTTTACAGAAAAGGGCCCTGAAAATTATCACCAACAGTCATTATAGAGAGCCATCTAACCAGTTATTTGTCAAATTTAAAGTATTTATGATACTGTTGACTTTGAGTATCCTCAAAATAAAAAGTAGGAAAAAGTAGAAAGCAAAGTGCAATGTATTACCTGTAAATAAAAAAGACAGTTTGAAAAAAAAAACCCCACTATAATCTAAAAGGAATAGACATGTTAAAAAAAAAAAAAAAAAATGAGATTCAGAACCAAGATTATGGATGCATTGCTGTGAAAGGAGTTCATTTGTTGATTGAGTACAATAATGACATTTAAAAGTACATAAAATCCAGTGTATAAAAGTGAAGAGATACAGTATGTTTGCAACTGATTGCTCTTTGTGATTTAAATGAAATGTATTGATTTGAAATGTTTTGCAGTAACTCTCACTGTCAGTGTATTGTATGGAAAAGGGGGCAGATAGCACAAGATGACTCATCTTTGTTCTCCTTTTCATTCATTTCTTGTATGTTTAATGTTATGATACTGTTGATGTCTTGTTTATACTTTATTAATTAAATAAATAATAAATAATAACCAGCCAAACAAGCCTATACATAGAACTTTGGGACCTACCTAACCAACCTACATAGAGTTGTGGAGTCCATCTAACCAGCCTGTACTGTATGTATAACTGTGGAGCCTACCTAACATTCGCAGGCGCCCAATCTTGTCCATGAGCAGTGCAGACACAATGTTCCCCGGCAAGACTGCCAGTGTACCGAGGAAACTGACGAAGTACACCATGTAAGCGTTGTTGTCATCCCCTACATCACTGAGCAGACAGCCCTCCTTGTTGTGCCTGAAGGTACTATTGATCAGCTTACTATTGATGAGCCGATACTTGAACAGATCTGCATGGCATGAGGAGAGACACAAAGCCATATAGACAGTGAAAAACACAAAATAACAGAATACCCAGTAAAATGCCCCCTTTTTAATGTTTAACCAGAAAATTAACCAAGCATTAACCAAGCAATACAGAAGTCCAAGTAATTCTAGTTTGTAAAAGAAAAAGACTCCTGCCTAGAATGCTAGTAATTCTAGTAGCCTGGATGGCACTGCCTCTACTAGTTGTTCTCCCATCCTTGACCAAACCTGGAACCGCGAGGGAGTTGTAGATATGGCAGGGGCCTGACCTGTGTTGTAGAAGACCGTGGCAATGAAAGTGCAGTTCTTGAAGAAGGTGTTACTAGAAGTCACGTCCTCAAAATAACACTCCTCAAACAGTGAGTCCTCAAAGACCATAGACTTCATCTTCAGATTGACAAACCTGCAAACAGAGAACAGGTCAGCATGCTCAATAACCATGAGGATCCCTGAGGAGCCTGAGGAGGCTGGTACACACCTGTCATTGAAGTAGGCTCCCTGACGGTGGATCTGGTTCTCCAGGGTGAAGTTGAAGGTGACATGCTCCACCTTCTCCTTCATGAAGACCTTAGTGCGGGAGGCGTAGTCTTGCTTCTGAAGGTACTTGATCATGTCAGGGAACCACACTGTCAGGCCGTAGTAACTGCACAGGCAAAGGTCAAAGACACAGGCATGTGACTGTTGTAAGGGTTACTGCTTAACCAAGCAGTGGGCCGTAAGGTGAAATACGGTCACATTGCTGGCCTTGTGAAAAATCTTGCTTATAATTTTTGTTGTAAATGCAACAGGGCTCTTTTAGATATATTTTTCTATTGTATTTAAAACCTCACTTTATTTATAAAATTTTCATGACAATATAAAATTTGAAAGACAAAGTATTCAGCAAAAGCAGAAGTTTTTTATGTCATTCATGGATATTCGAGTGATCTTGTGATCTCTTACTATTGGGGCACTATTCAGACTGTCCTTACAGTTGTCAGTAGAACCCTGTACTCATCCCACAAGCCTATGTGACCCACACTCCAACACAGCCATTTTTTTTTTCATAAATATACAAGAGCAGGATACAAAAGAATACACTACAACTGTACAAATGCAAACTGATTGAGTGCTCTGAACAGGGAGTGACTTAGTGCACGCAGCTAGCTTACAATTAAATATGCTGTTTTCAGCTAATATAGCATTTTCAGATCAATTAAAGGTAACCTCTAAATATGTCATGCAGTAGCATAATACCCCTTAGAACTAAACCCCTCTTTAAATTACACTGTCAGAATCTTTTTTTTTTTCAGTAGTCTGATGGGTTGATTAGGTCTTCTGTATTGATTATGTTTTACATTTTAGAAGGTATGAAACAAACAATGGTCTGTAGGTAATAAAGTACAGTATAGTCTTTTGCCGTGTTATTATTTTTTTCTCACTTTATTTTTGCTGCTCAAAATACATAAACTACCTACGCTTAACCTGTTACCATCCACCTAATTTGGCGTGTGCACAATAGCACTACATACCCAAGTGCCATAGCTTATTAAAAGAAAACCTTAGAACCCACATGCTTGTGTGAGGCACCATTTTAAAGCTTAGGCATTCTAGTTTCTGTAGATATGCATATGAAGACTGTGAGTGCTGCCTAACCTACAGGACAGTCAATTAAAAATTGTATTTTTTTGCTTTGAAAAAACAATTGAAAAAAATAAAGGCCTTAGCTTGGGCATACTTCATGCTAGGCATTTGTGACTCTCTACACTCATTGTTCAAGTTGTTGGCAACAACTGTGTAGAATTTCAGACCTTTAGGACAAAGGGTTTTGATGCTGTGAGCCTTTGTGTAAACAAAATGACAATTCAGCACAAGCCAAATTTGTGCCAAAATAATAATAATAATAATATAATAATAATAATAATTGTTATTATTATAATACTAATTCTTCTGAGCTTTAGGCATGTTTTCTCAAGAAAAAAAACTAAAAGTAGCCAAAAATGTCAAGTGCCAGATGTGCCCTCTAAGGCCCCTCCCGCACTGCTCTCTGTGTCCCTCTTTGTTGCGCTTGTAAACACAGCTTCCTTTTCAAAGCCTATCTGCATGTCCCACCCACCGTTTGAAAGCTCTGGTGATAGGCTAAAACAATATGTCAATCACTTTCTGGAAGAGCCAATGACTGAAGAGATTTCCCGTAAACAAACTGATGACGCGTGCGTAAAGCCAGGAAGTACGTGGGTACGTTAGCTTCTTCAGTGGCTTGTCCCAGCTAAACCCCGCCACCGACAACAGCGGGGAGGGTCTCATTTTGAAGCTAAGAGTGTGAGGAAAACAAGCGTACCCAAGAGCACCAAGAGAAACGGAACTCAGAGAGGGAGAAGGCTCGGGAAGGCAACATATCATATTCATTCATCCATTCATACGGATGAGGATTTTCTGGATTATTTATCCACATGGAATTATTTTATGGAAAAAACAACTTGATATTCTTTTTCTGTGGATTATTACGGACTTATTGAGTACAACTTTTCATGGATTGAACGCGTTTTGGACCGACAGAACCGGCTCAAAGGTAAGAAATGCGTATCTTATTCTTTGATTATGATGTGAATTTTTAAGTTATCGCGTTTTGGGCTCGTTGTACGGCATAAAATGAATGATATGGTTGTTTTATTGAGAAATTAAGCTTTCAAAAGATGTATGGCATGCCAGTAGTGAAAACAATAATGAAGGTGAATATACAGAGTGAACATTTTTTATTGGAAAATCGCCCACCGGCGGGTGGGTGGATGGTAAGTGGTTTTTAACCTTCTCTCCTGATGTGTGTGACAGATACTTGCACTCAGATGTTTTAGAAGTGTTCTGACAGAGAAGCGTAATCAGTGTGCAGCAGAAATGTGCTGACCTGAAGGACATGGAAAACCAGACAGCCATCATCATGTAGGTGGTGCGGCGGTATTGAGGAGAGAACACAGCCTGGAAGTTTTCCCACACCTGAAACACAGCAAAGCAATGAGACCCCTGCTGGTGGAATACCTGCATAATGTGCACACAAATACGTTTGGGAAGGGTCCTTTAAAGGTCTTATATTATAACTCCTGTGAGCTTTAAGCCATTTTATAATGCTGTTAGCTCATTAAAACATACCAAAAGTTGTGTTTTGCTTCATTCACATATTTTTGAGGAATCCCTTATTATTATTACACCCACATTACATCGAAGCAGTAACAGCATGTAAGCGCATACGTACAGGCATCACTTTCCATTTTAACCAGTTGGCCAATTTTCACCAGCAGTGTCAGATGTCCAACAGCCATCATAATGCTACGTAACTGTGTGATGTATTGGAATGAACCTTGGACTATTTTGTTGAGGACCGGTACCTTTAAGAGACTTTTTGGCTCTGAATGGCAGACAATAATCAGTATGAACTGAAAAGGAATATAAAGTTTTATTTATTTATTTACTGAGAGAGAGGAACACACAGCCTAACTATGCAGGATTTCTGTGTCCATATTAAGATATTTTCTGATCTGTTATAATAGTTGTTTGCTCATCAAAAACATACTTGGAGTTTTGTTCTGTTTAATTCACAGAAATCTTGCATATTTAGGATGAGTTCTTCTCTCAAATTGCCAATCTCTACTGAACTAAAGGTAAAAGGTAGCTGTTAACTTAAAAAAATACCACTACATGACATCACAAGGTGGAACAGAGCATTTTAAACTTTGTAAATGTAGACAGACTAATAATAAAGGATAACTCAAACATGTGTGAATGAAACAAAACACAACTCCAGGTCTGTTTTTGCTGAAGTAGCAACATTATAACAGGCCTTAAAGCTCAGATGAGTACATTTTGTGCAATATAATACTTTTAATACAATAGAGATACAAATTTAGGCTCTTAAAGCTTCTGGACATCGTTGTTACCTGATGGAACAGTGCTGTGAGTTTTATCCTCCACTTGTCATACCAGGGTGCACCATCTCCCATGTCCACCAGCTCATCCCGAGGCTTCACAGTCTTTATGGTGGTCACCTGACACGAGAGTTGACATTCATATTCTCATACCTGTATCCTACAATTCCATGTTTAAAAAACATAGACTGTATTAAGAAGTGGACTCACAGAGAAGACGCGTTCAGGATATCCCTTGGCCCTCATATTGGTGTCATGGACCTGTTTCAGGATCATCCAGGCCTCATCATGTTTCCCATTCTACATCAACAACAACAATATTTAAAACACTGTGTGCCCCTGTGGGGAGCGTGAGGGGGAGGAGAGGTGAGTCTAGAGGACTAAAGGGGAGAGTAAGAGGGGAGGATGGGTGGAATCTGGAGGACGAAAGAGGAGAGTGAGCGGAAAGGATGGGCATTTTAACAAGATTACTTGAAGAGGAAGAATAGACTATCATTTAGGAGTAACTTTTTGTGATTGATGTTTTAAAAGTCAGTTACAGCATTTATGTGATTGTTTGCAGTAAATTGAAATTCAAATATTTCCATTGTCCTGTAGTAAGTCAGGCTTTGAAAAAAAAGAAGAAAATAAGAAAGAAAGAAAAGAAAAGAAAATGAAAAAAAAGAAAGAAAAAGAAAAATTATCTCTAAATTTAAGAGTTTTAGGTAGGGATACTGGTAGCAGTAGCAGCACCACACCAAGGTTTTGCATTAGCCTCTTTTGTAATGTGGTGTTCCTACTGAGTGTTGGGGCTGACCTCAAGGAAGAAGCGTGGGCTCTCTGGCATGGTGGTCAGGGCAGAGATAGCGGCCACAGCGGGAAAGGCACACACCAGCACAAAGACCCTCCAGCTGTGGAACTGGTATGCAGAGCCCATCTGGAAGCTCCAACCTGACAGGGCACAGGAGGAGCACAGGGAAGGGTCACACATCTGAGCAATCATGTGGAAAATAACAGGCTAAGTGTTTAGTGCAAAAAATGCTATGCAAATACACCATGTACATTTTTTGTAAGCTCAGTTTAAGCTTTATATTTATATTTATTATTATATTGATAATGCTCTCAGTGTTTCCCACAGAAAATTAGTTAGGCAAGGTATTAAAAAAAAAAAAAACGTAAGATGGAGATGTAAATACAGTATGTGATGTTATGTTGTTATGTTATGTTAAGAGCACACGGGTATGCAGGAGCATACAGATATACTGGAGCAGTAGCTACCCTATGTGCAATTTAGTTTGACAGGTGAAATGTATTCATTGTAGCCTTTTCTTCTGAACAATCTGGCGCAGCAGGACTTACCGTAGTGTGGGATGATTGCCCAAGCCATCGCTGATGCATAGATACCTCCAATCATCCAGAACATGCAGAGCCAGCTCAGATGCTCCCCTCGCTTCTCCTGGGCCAGGAACTCAGAATAATAGGAGAAGACTATGGGAATGGAGCCACCAATGCTAAAAAGAAATTAGTGTTGAGTTCCTTCTGGGGTTATCAAAAGTCTAAAAACTAAGCTCAGTTTCAATACTAAAACTAGTATCAAAACTGGATACTCATTTGAGTATCTAGTTTGAGCTGAGTATCAATACTGAAAAAACAAAAAATGATTGATACTACCAAAGCAAGTTTAAGACTACATGGACTAATGTACACCTATGAACTAGTAGAAACTACCTGACTATCCCTATGACTGAGGGATTACACATATGTAAGGCCACATGGTAATATAACCAAAGGATAGATAAGGTCTTGGAATCAGTATTCAGTCTATTCCTTAGTATTAAAATTGAGTTTGAAATATTTGTGTCATAACAGAATTAGTTACTGCTTCCACTACTATCAAACATTTTGACACACCATCTCCTTTACACTAAGTTCACACTGACTACATAATACATTGATACATACTGAAGACATCAAATACGTGATTCAAGTTGTATGCAATTACAGTATGTAGCAAGGAAACATTTTGAATATCTCTAAATATGCATTTATATTTTAGACCTTCAAGATGAACTCACCTGAAATGGTTTCACTTCACAGTTATGCCTTGTCAGGTTTCATATCTGTGTAATCCCTCACTTGTCCAGGTATGTTACACCACCCTTCCAAGTGGTTTCTTCAGTTCTCAACTTAGATGAGTGATGAAACATTTTCACCCTAAAACATTTGTCCAGCTGACAGAATTAAATGTCTCTGTCAGGGTTCATCAGTGAATTTCCAAGATGTGCAAAGCAGTGACCAAAGCAAAGGGTAGCTATTTAGATTTTTTTTTTTTTATTTAATTTAATTTTTTTTTGTGGTGTACAGTGTGTCTATGCTGGTCACCATAACACATTTTGAAGCATGATATATTGCTACAGAGCAATAAACAATAATACTGAAACTTTATGCCACTGATTAAGAATTAAATGAAGAAAGATAATCCCAGTAAACCATTATTAAATAGTATTATTAAAAGGCCTGAGCTGAAACGACTAAATAGCAGAATGAAGGAATAATTAGACATAAATGTGACTTATTCAACCCTAGCTATCATTACGCTACCAGACAAAAGTGGAAACACCTTTTAATTTATTTAATTTTTCTTCTTTATTTCCCTGATTATTAATATTGTAGATTCTTGGACTGAGTGGAATGAGCTGTTTGTTTTTTGCCATATTTATGGAGATATCTTACTTCATATATTTGATGCATTCTGTGTGTATATAAAATGCAGAAAGTAGCAAACTTAAAGAAAAAAAAGTGAACAAGAAGATGTGTCCAAACTTTTGATTACTAGATAGACAGGAGATCTCACCCCACTCCTGAGGCCAGGCGGCAGAACAGGAAGGAGCTGTAGCCCTGTACGAATGATGAGAAGAAGGCAAACACGCTGTTGATGGACAGAGAGATGAGGAGTGTCTGTCTGCGGCCGATCCTGTCTGCCAGCCCGCCCCACACAAATGCACCCACCATCATGCCCAGGTATACGATCAGCCCTGCACACACACAATCACCATTAGGACACAGGTTCATCCCCAGCATCTACCAGTCTATAGTGTGTTGTTGTGCTGTTGTGCAAGACACTGCACTCACCATGCCAGATTTGGGGAAAATATCTATTTGCATTGCGCATTTTTTGCATATTGGTTTCTGACAAGCAATTTCAATTTATAAAGTTCACATTCTTAGCACAAAAAGACTGAAATATGAAATGATAAACTAATCCAAGTTTGTCATTAAGGACTGGTGCACACTGGGACAACAATGGCTCAGTGGTTAGAGCAGTGGTCAAAGGTTTCAGGATTGATTCCCACTTGGAGTTCTGTCATTGTGTGCATGAGTGAGAGGTGGATTGAGGGGCTGATGATACAGATTAGCTGACTCTCTTCTGTCTACTATAATAGCTTCCCATCAGTGAGTTTGGAATGAATAGACTACAATGTAAGGTTTTGTTCAGAGTGTAAAGAGGATTACAAGTGTAAGGCATAATTATTAAGATTTCCATGTGTTTCAGAACATGATTGTAGAACCCTTACCTACAGAGTTAGCATCTTACTAGTACACACATAATAACATAGAACATAAAAATGGCAGCCTTTGCGATTTGCTTATTGTGTCCGTTCAAATTGTAATTTTGATTTTGATTCTCCCCTCCTTGAACCGTCACCTTATCGTGGTGGAGGGGTTTGAGTGCCCGAATGATCCCAGGAGCTATGTTGTCGGGGGCTTCATGCCCCTGGTAGGGTCACCCAAGGCAAACAGGTCCGGGGGGACGGGTCAGACGAAGAACAGTTCAGAAGCCCCACATGATGAGTCACACACAGAGGCCAGTTACGTCACCCGGATTGGCGTCACCGGGGCCTCACCCTGGAGCCAGGCCTGGGGTGGGTGCTCGTCAGCGAGCGCCTGGTGGCCGGGCCTTCCCCCACGGGGCCCGGCCGGGCTTAGCCCAAAGGAGCGACGTGGGGCCGTCCTCACGTGGGCCCACCACCCGCGGGAGGAGCCATATGGGGCCGGTGCAGAGAGATCTGGGTGGCAGTCGACGGCAGGGGCCTCGACGACCGGATCTCCGGACATGGAGACTAGCTCTGGGGGGGAAGGAGCCTGAGCTTGTGCGGGAGGTTGAGCGTTACGGACTAGATATAGTCGGCCTCACCTCCACGCACAGTTTGGGCTCTGGAACCCAACTCCTTGAGAGGGGCTGAACTCTCCATTTCTCTGGCGTTGGCCGCGGGGAGCGGCGGCGGGCTGGTGTGGGCCTGCTCATTGCCCCACAGCTCAGCCACTGTGTGTTGGAGTTCACCCCAGTGAACGAGAGGGTCGCGTCCCTGCGCCTTCGGGTCGAGGACAGGTCTCTCACTGTGGTGTCGGCCTACGGGCCGAACAGCAGTGCTGAGTATCCGGCCTTCTTGGAGTCCTTGGGAGGGGTACTAGACAGTGCACCGACCAGGGACTCCGTTGTTCTCCTGGGGGACTTCAACGCCCACGTGGGCAACGACAGTGACACTTGGAGAGGGGTGATTGGGAGGAATGGCCTCCCTGATCTGAACCCGAGCAGTGTTTTGTTATTGGACTTCTGTGTTAGTCACGGTTTGTCCATAACGAACACCATGTTCAAGCACAAGGGTGTCCATAAGTGCACGTGGCACCAGGACACCCTAGGCCGGAGGTCGATGATCGACTTTGTAGTCGTGTCATCTGATCTCCGGCCACGTGTCTTGGACACTCGGGTGAAGAGAGGGGCTGAGCTGTCAACTGATCATCACCAGGTTGTGACTTGGGTTCGCTGGCGGAGGAGGAAGCCGGAAAGACCTGGCAGGCCCAAGCGTGTAGTGAGGGTCTGTTGGGAACGTCTGGCGGAGCCCTCTGTCAGAGGGACTTTCAACTCGCACCTCCAGGAGGACTTCTCCCGGATTCCGGGGGAGGCTGGAGATATGGAGTCCGAGTGGGCTTCATTCTCAGCCTCTATTGTCGATGCGGCTGCTCGGAGCTGTGGGCGTAAGGTCTGTGGTGCCTGTCGCGGCGGCAATCCCCGAACGCGGTGGTGGACACTGGAAGTAAGGGATGCTGTCAAGCTGAAGAAGGAGTCCTATCGGGCCTTGCTGGCTCGGGGGACTCCTGAAGCAGTTCTTCACCAACACTGTTTACAGTGCGGGGGGAGAGCTGCTGACCTCGACTGGGGATGTTGTCCGGCGGTGGAAGGAGTACTTTGAGGATCTCCTCAATCCCACCGTCACGTCTTCCGAGGAGGAAGCCGAGGCTGGGGACTCGGAGGCGGACTCATCCATCACCCTGGCTGAAGTCACTGAGGTGGTTGGAAAGCTCCTTGGTGGCAAGGCTCCGGGGTTGGATGAGATCCGTCCTGAGTACCTTAAGTCTCTGGATGTTGTGGGGCTGTCTTGGCTGACACGCCTCTTCAACATCGCGTGGCGGTCGGGGACAGTACATCTGGACTGGCAAACCGGGGTGGTGGTCCCTCTGTATAAGAAGGGGGACCGGAGGGTGTGCTCCAACTATAGGGGGATCACACTCCTCAGCCTTTCCGGTAAGGTCTATGCCAGGGTACTGGAGAGGAGAATCCGGCCAATAGTCAAACCTCAGATCCAGGAAGAGCAGTGTGGTTTTCGTCCTGGCCGTGGAACACTGGACCAGCTCTACACTCTCCATAGGTGCTCGAGGGTTCATGGGAGTTTGCCCAACCAGTCCACATGTGCTTTGTGGACTTGGAGAAGGCATTCGACCGTGTCCCTCGTGGTGTCCTGTGGGGGGTGCTCTGGGAGTCTGGGGTCCGGGGCCCTTTGCTAAGGGCTGTCCGGTCCCTGTATGACCGGAGCAGGAGCTGTGTTCGCATTGCCGGCAGTAAGTCAGACCTGTTCCCGGTGCATGTTGGACTCCACCAGGGCTGCCCTTTGTCACCGATTCTGTTCATTGTGTTTATGGACAGAATTTCTAGGCGCAGTCAGGGGCCGGAGGGGTGAGATTGACAGGCGGATCGGTGCAGCTTCGGCAGTGATGCGGTCGCTGTATCGGACCATTGTGGTGAAGCGGGAGCTGAGCCGAAACGCGAAGCTCTCGATTTACCGGTCAGTCTTCGTTCATACTCTCACCTATGGTCATGAGCTCTGGGTAGTGACCGAAAGGACGAGAACGCGGATACAAGCGCTCGAAATGGGTTTCCTCTGCAGGGTGGCTGGGCGCTCCCTTAGAGATAGGGTGAGGAGCTCAGTCACATGGGAGGAGCTCGGAGTAGAGCCGCTGCTCCTCCACGTCGAGAGGAGCCAGTTGAGGTGGCTCGGGCATCTGTTCCGGATGCCTCCTGGGCGCCTCCCTCGGGAGGTGTTTTCCGGGCATGTCCCACCGGGAGGAGGCCTCGGGGAAGACCCAGGACACACTGGAGGGACTATATCTCTTGGCTGGCCTGGGAACGCCTCGGGGTTCCCCCGGAGGAGCTGGAGGACGTGTCTGGGGTGAAGGAAGTCTGGGAGTCCCTGCTTAGGCTGCTGCCCCCGCGACCCGGCCCCAGATAAGCAGACGAAAATGGATGGATGGATGGATTTTGATTCTATTGTGATTTCAGTTTTTTCAATCACTTTGACACTAAAGTCTAAATATATGAAAAAAAATTTTAAAACTTGCTACACAGTTCACACTATGGAGACATTTTATAAACAGCCACAGAAGCACTAGAAACACAATGTCATATAGACTTATGCATTGCAAACGTGTGAACCAGGTTCACACACATAGTTTCATTCTGAATTGTTTTGTGTCTGTGAATAGTTTTGGAAAGTGTGCAAAAGATTTGACCAATATATAAAAGGTTTTAGAAAATGTGCCAAAGCAAAAAAAAAAAAAAAAAAAAAAAAAAAAAAAAAAGGAAGTAAGGCCAATTCAGCTGTAAAGCAAAACATATTGCTAAGACACAACTAAAAACTAAAACACATGGAAATTCAGATATTTAGAACTACAATACATAGTATTATTATTATTATTATTATGTTGTTGTTGTTTTTTTTCTACATTACCAGAGAAGGGTATGTTACCCTAGAAACATGTCCCTTCCTGGCACTGGAGTAGTGAGAGGAGGGGGAGAGCTGGTGCATGAGCATGAGTCAGGCCTGTTATACAAGAGCTGATCACAGCAAAACAAGATACTCAGCAATGTGAAAATTCCCATGTCTTTTGCTTGAGAAAACTACATTTGTTTACTTTTTCCAAAGTGATTACAAAAAAATAAATAAATAAATCTGGTGAAAAGAGATGGTTTTATTTTTTAAGTGGAGCAGTGCCACTATTAGATGGACATAAGAATCTTTAGGTACAGTAAGTCTCAGGATAAACAGCTGCACATGCTTTATTAGCTTATGTGGAATATTAGCATGATGACACATACATCTACTTGTTACTTAATGTAGAATGATGTGGACTAATTGAGCTTGTACAGCTCACACTTGACTGGTTCAATTCAGCATTCAGTAACTCAGAGCCTTCCAAAGGTTGAGGAGAAATAGGACAAAGGCGCCTGCCTTTGAGTAGCAGCATTAAATAGAGAAAGAGTGAAGGTATGATCAAAATAGTAGATAGTCACAGGGATTAGATCATAATTAGATTGTATTACCATATCGCCCAGGTGTTAATGTGAGTCACTTACCCAGCATGCCCTTGTTGGGCTCAGAAAGACACATATCCTTCTCTGCGAAGGGAAGCACGAAGCCCACCACAAAGATCTCCACTCCATCCGCCATGAGGGCCAGCCCCAGGCAGAAGTACAGGGTCCACTGGAACTTGCCGTGTCCACACTCCTGGAGGATGGTCTCGTACTGCTCTGCCAGCTCCTCCTGGTCCTTTCTGCGCTCTCCCTCTGCCACAGCTAGGTCCCTATAGGTCTGTGGGGGCACATCCAGCCCAGGGCCCTTCCCCTCTGCCCGGGGAATACCCTGGTACTCTCCTTCATAGATCTCATCCTCTTCATCGTGACCCTCAGTGGAGTCACTGTGTGCATCCTCATCTCCACGGCTGTCACTATGGTAGTACCCTGCATCTCCACTCACACCGTAGTCATCATCATCGTCCTCCTCCTCAAAGCGCTTGTAAGAACGTCGTGTGTACTCATCCGCCATTCGGTCCATGCCCCGCCCAACCTTCTTTCCCACCTGCTTCTTGGCCACCTTGGCGATGTCCTTGGCCCCGCGGATGAATTCCGAGCGGCCATCCCTGTATCGGCTGTCATCCTCCATGATGGCTGCTCACTGGCTCTCTCAGAGGCTCGGGAGATCAGGAGAGGCCCAGGCACTGTGTGGGGGTCTGTCCACAGAACACACATGGGGTATTAATGTTGATGGGCATGCACAGGTAACAACACTGTGTAGAACTGTGATATATTGAAAAAACATACTCTTGATTTATTTTTATTTATTAAATATTATATAAGTCAATTGAAAACACCTCATTTGCAATGACAACCTGGCCAAGAGACAGCCTAAAGCTGCATAATACAAACACCCATACATCACTCTTAAAGGTACTTTAGGAGCCACTCGTGTTTTGTTTGGGTCACTGTTTATGTCTGAGCACAGGGTGACGATATTTGGCTTAGCCACAAGGGGTCAGGGTGGAGTCAAGCCTATATGAACGCACAGGTGCCACTGTACTGTGTGTTTGGGTGACAATGCACTATCCAATTTTTTCCATATTATTGAACATCCACCCACCCCACTTCTTTCTGCCATAAGTGGGCCTTGGAACCCCCCGCCAAGTGCAGTCATAAGGATTGTGCACTTCTGGAAAAGTTTGGTTAGGGCATAAGGTTAGGTATGGACATAGGTTTTTTAAAAATCCATGGATACAAGTTGGGGTGCGCCTCCTAGTGGCCGGTGTACATAAAATCCAAAATGGGAAAAGGTTATATTTCCACTTCGTTCAGTCTTAAATTGTTGTATAATATAATTTTTCTACTTTGTTTGATACAAGGAATTCAATTCTGATATATTCTTCTTATTTTTAGTCAATTTTTATGTTAAATCTATTATCATAGTCATCTTTAACTAAAATAAACTGTCTATATCTCTGAAAAAGTTACATTTATATATTACTCAGGGCCGTAGACCCATAGTTTTACCTCCAAGGTCCTTTTTTTTGTTGGTTGGAAAGGTCACTATGTGGGCATGTTGTTTGCATCAGTCACTCTGCTGCGAATCCAGTTCGCTTTAGATAAAAACGTCTGCTAAATACCTGTGTTTAACCTTTAACTATAGTGTCAAAGATAACATGTGCTGACAAAAAGGACCACTTTCCTTGTCCATGGTGCCAGAGTGTTACACCCAGACATGTGCACCTTCCCTGATCCCCCCCAAATTTATTACCTCCGCCAAGGAGGTTATGTTTTTGCCGGCGTATGTCTGTTGTTTGTTTGTTTGTCTGTGAGCAACATAACTCAAAAAGTTATGGACCGATTTTGATGAAATTTTCAGGATTTGTTGGAAATGTGAAAAGGAAGAACTGATTTCATTTTGGGAGTGATCCGGAAGAAATCCTGGATTCTGGATCACTTTGAAATTTTAGTTAACATTGTGGTAAATGGGGCCAATATCTCAGTTAATTATTGACCAAACCCCATGAAATTTGACTCAGGGATGGACAATGGGATCCTCTTTCATATTCCAAAGGCTGATCCGGATCTGATCCAGAAAACTGATTTTATCGCAATTTATATAACAAATGGGGGTAGTCCTTGGCGGAGGTCTGCACTCTCTGAGTGCTTTTCTAGTTAATTAATGTATTAATAAAGTATTATTAGTATTATTATTATTATATTATTATTATTATTATTATTATTAATAATAATAATAATAATAATAATAATAATAATAATTAATTAATTATTATTATTATTATTATTATTATTATTATTATTAATTAATAATAATAATAAATAATTTATTATTTTGGGCCAATTCACCTGGAAGTTTGAGGGCCATGAAACATTTATCTGAGGGCCGCATTTGGCCCCCGGGCCATAGTTTGGACATGCCTGGTTTAGACAATAGAATATAGAATATAATATAGACAATAAAACCTTAAATCATAGTACTTTCTTTTCTGTTCCCATGTGTCCTTAGACCTGTGTAATCCCTCAATTGTCCAGATAGGTTCCATTGTGGTCCAAGGGCATATAGAGTCTACTGCATATACTGTAAAATTTTTCAGTGCATACGGAAAACTACACACTCTCAACTCTCTTTATTTGACCACAAGTGCAAAGTCATCACTGTGATTTGTAATGACACAAGCAGGCTAAAATGTATACATTCATATATGCAGAGGAACCAGAGGCTGGGAGACTATACCATGCCCTGGACAGCTGTCAGTGCTGTTTAAGTTACTTTCTAAAGCCAGGCTCTTTACCAAACTGGTTCCTTTAATTCAGTCAGAAAAAAGATTGACTGGAGTTTGAAAAATACAATATTTGAATGCACTGGTTTCAAACCCATGTACTTTTTAAATGGACCACAAATTTCAACTCTGACGTGACAGCTTACCATAGACAGTTCTATTTAGTGATGACTCTGTTCTTGTTGGAAATGAGAAAACTGGCTGGCTGTTCAACACTATATATTTGTCAGAGCACATAGTGAGGGTATATAAGTTTGGTGAACAGGAAAAACTCCTGCTTGGTTAGACGCTGAATCTCTCTCCAGAAGTGGGCCTTCACTGTGGACTGCATACTGCAGCACAAGCCCGCGGATCGGGAATTCCTTGATAGTGGCTCCAAAACAGAACGACTTGCTAGCACTAATCTTAACGTGCTCTTTAGCAGCTGATAAAGTAAATTTCTACTTATAGGATGATTTAGGCTAATTTTACAAGCAAACCGAGAGCACTGCGGACCCTGTGTTCTCCGACAAGGTCATTGCAGCGCACTGCTCACGCAGACAGCTGTGCTCTCAGAGCACGTCATATCCAGCCCCACGCAAAAGACCAAGCAGCGGTGTTGTGGCAAAGACGGCGTGCCCAAATAACCTACTAAACCACGAACACTAACAGCAGATTGGGTACCCCCAATCCATGCTCCAGCTTCCCGCCTCCCCGTGTCCTTTGCCGCGTCCTCATCCGCATCCCAGCATCAGCGCGACTGTCCCGTTCTCCCATCCGTACGTCATTGCCAAAACATTTCTAAGTCATTGATTGCATCAGTATTTGTTTGCACTGTAGGGCTGGAGTGACTGAAAACAAACTAAAATCATGCATGGCTTACCTCGGTGCGGCAGGTGAGCGACAAACGGACGGTGAACAGCTAAGCACTGGGTACGCGGTGACGTAGGGTCCCCAGCCCCCAGCTTTACTACAGCATACGTAGTCCCCTCACTATGCTGCGCGCAGATTGGCCGCGGTATTCTGAGGGGCACGGACACAGAGATGTCAAAGGTTAGAAGCGTCTCGAGAAGCGCGGTTGTACGTCACTTCCTGCTCGTGAACAGTGTTAATGCAGTGTACCGTGGTCGACGGTTCAGTGCATCTGCATGTGCAGGGACTTGTGCTCGTAACTGGCCTGTATGAAGCACGCTCGCACAGGCGCAAGCACAATGCTCCGCGTACACTCTTAATACAACCTGCTCACGCACGCGCACATCTGTTTCAGTGGTTGGACCCCTCTGCGTGTGTCTGGTGTATGATCACCGTCTTAAACGCTTTGTGACAAGATCAAGCAAAGCCCTGATAAACTGGCGCTGTCCGTGGTCCTGACGTTTCCCCTCCTAATTTTCCGTCAGTTTAATTTTAGTGTTGCCAGATTCCACACCTCATTACATGTCTCATTCATTTTAATTCTTAAAACTCATACTGATACACTCTAATATTTAACCTTAACCCTAAATGAATTAAAGGTCCTATATTACACTGAATTGGTTCTTGAGAGATTTAAGCCATGCTATGATATTATCCAGTGTGCAAAATACCCGTCAATATTCGGAGGGGTCCCAATCTCCAAATTGTTGAGCAATACAAACTTAAATGTGAAAAAATACACGACAGTGGATGCCACAGACAGCCTATAGCGGGGGTATTCAACTAAAATTTGAGGAGGTCCAGTGATACAGAAGCAGCCCAGTTTTACCAATGTTTGAATTTATGAACAATAGACTGTCAAATTAATGAAAATACAAGTTAAAAATACTTCAAATGTATTATTAACGCTGAAACACGCAGTTGTCCTATATAAGATATAGGGCTGCAGTTTAAAATTAATTGGAGACAATAAATAAAACGGCTAAATTGTTATTTAAAACTTATAAAATGAACTGCATTTAGCCTAGTGTGAGAAATAGTTCAGCCGGACTAGATCCAAACCAGAGTCCTGACCCAGCGGGAGCAGCTCTGAACTAAGAGCTCCTGCTCTGAGTTCTGTGTTTTATGACTTTTTCAAATATTTTGAATTATTTAAAGTCTTGTGGGAATAGTTTTGCAAAGCTTTGCCAAATTTACGAATTATTTCAGAAAATGTGCCAAAAAGACTGATGGGGATGCCTAATGGAGATTATTTTCACCTTCACCATCACTGTAATAATGAAGACTGACAACTCGCCTATGCATCCAGTAGGTGGCGGCAAATGTTTATGCACCACACTAACAGAAATTGTATTTCTTCGTGGACCTGGCAACCCTGCCCACAGCATGGCCCACAGTCACCAGCAGCTTCGCACTGTGCTGCTTGTTAGAAGAGGCTCTACTCCAGAGGACACATCGGTCCCGCTAATCATCACGTCCCAGGTAGCGGTCTCACATCCGTCCCAGAACACTGTTGATCAGAGCGGTGAAAGCGAAGGCAGGACAAATGCTTCTGCTAACGTTAGCCGCTGTGCTATCGCCTGTGTGTGCAGGGTTTTCTGCTCCGGTCTGTCTCAGTCAGGAGCGAGTGTAGCTTCCGAGTTTAGAGGTGTTTAGCATCAGTGTAAGTACCATATGCTCCAACAGGCTGGACACTTGCTTATCTCTCTCCATTTTTTCTGTCGGTCTCTCCCTTTAGCTTCCCACACTAGCGTGTTTGAGTCAAGTCCTGCTTTGTAGTCTATGGCTTATTGGTTATTCCTCTTCATTGCTTCCCATACTAAAAACTGTATTAATACTACTATTGTATTAAACGATACTATTTTAAACAAAAAATATAATGGACCTTATACATTAATCTTTTCTTTAAAAATGTTTTCGTAACTTCCACTTTAAAGGCCTTTTCATACTTCATGTTCTTATGAAGTATGAATGAGCCATTAAGAAGAGGCTGAGAGAACTCTGCGCCTGATTGACAAATGCAGCATCCGAAATTCGTTCAATGCGCTTAGAAAGTTTCTTTCCGTATCATTGACTCGCTACTGCGCATGCGCACAACCTACCAAGCGTAGAGGCAGAAGTGAAACATTTTAGTATTGGTTTTATTGTATGTTTTGACCAGTTAAACATCGACATGTGCGTGTTAGATTTGCGGCAGAATAACTACGTTAGATGATTGAATAGTTTGGATTATTGTTATAATTTTCATTATATCGTATTTTATTTTGTTTCCATGTGTAGAAAACGTATCTTTCTTTAGAAAGGCTCTGTATAAATAAAATATCACTATATTATAATAGGAAATTCACACTGTAGCCTGTGATATTAGCTTTAAGTAGTATATATTTAACTTTATTTAATATAAAGATGTCAGTATTTCCAGTCATTTCTTTCTCTTACATAGTGGGAGCCTTGTTTGATAGAAGATATATGCCTGTTGAAATGCTAGCTCTACCTAAATGCATATAAATGAGTAAATAATGGTGATTCTACATTATTCAATGGCTAAATTGGCCTGCTGATATGTGCTACCACTCATTACATTCATAAAGGGGGGATAGTAGTAGTAGTAGCTATTAATTTAGGCTGTGCAGATCATAAAGTGCCTCTGTACAGTAGAGCTCCTTGTGACAATAGGCCTACTGCATTTTATGACCAAAACTACAGGAAACATCGGTCCTCTATTGAGATACTGTGAGTTAGTTTTCAAAACTTATTAGAGCCTATATGTCAGTAATTCATGGTGGGAAAAATGGTGCTTGGTTACTGTGTGTTACAGAGGATTATGTAAAATAAGAAAAAAAAACTCATGTTGGTCACCATAGGGACATTTGAGGGTCCCCACTGGACATGGACATAAAATGTTCTACTTTCAAAACTCAGATCTCCGTCGACTTCTAATGTACTCATATATGTGCAACCTTTCCATACACATTGTGTGTGTGTGCTTGTGTGTGTGTGTATGTGTGTGTGTGTATATATATGTATATGTATATATATGTATATATATGTATATGTATATATATGTATATGTATATATATGTATATATATGTATATATATGTATATATATATATGTATATATATGTATATGTATGTGTATATATATAAAAAATAATGTGTTTCTCACCTTCCACGGTGGTAGGTCTCTCTCACCCTCATTGAGCTCGGGTCCTCTACCAGAGGCCTGGGAGCTTGAGAGTTCTGCGCAGTATCTTTGCTGTTCCCAGTACTGCACTTTTCTGGACTGAGATGTCCGTTGTTTTTCCCGGTATCTGTTGTAGCCACTCTTCCAGTTTGGGGGTTACAGCCCCGAGTGCTCCGATCACCACAGGCACCACTGATGCCTTTACTTTCCAGGCTCTCTCCAGCTCTTCCTTGAGCCCCTGGTATTTCTCTAGCTTCTCGTGTTCCTTTTTCCTGATATTACCATCGCTTGGTATTGCGATGTCAACCACCACGGCTCTGCTCTGTTTCTTATCCACCACCACTATGTCTGGTTGGTTCGCCATCACCATTCTGTCAGTCTGTATCTGGAAGTCCCACAGGATCTTGGCTCGGTCATTCTCCACAACCTTTGGAGGTGTTTCCCACCTTGATCCTGGGGTTTCCAGCCCGTACTCTGCACAGATGTTTCTGTACACTATGCCCGCCACTTGGTTATGTCGCTCCATGTATGCTTTCCCTGCCAGCATCTTACACCCCGCAGTTATGTGCTGGACTGTCTCAGGAGCCTCTTTGCACAGTCTACACCGTGGGTCTTGTCTGGTGTGGTAGATCTGGGCCTCTATTGCTGGAGTGCCCAGGGCCTGCTCCTGAGCAGCCAGGATCAGTGCCTCTGTGCTGTCCTTCAGACCAGCCCTCTCAAGCCATTGGTAGGATTTCTTGATATCAGCCACTTCAGTTATGTTCCGGTGGTACGCCCCATGTAGGGGTTTGTCCTGCCATGATGGTCCCTCCAGCACCTCTTCCTCTGGACCCCACTGTCTGAGACATTCTCTGAGCACCTCATCTGCCGGGGCCTTGTCCTTGATGTACTCAAGGAGCTTGGATGTTTCATCCTGGACAGTGGTTCCCACACTCACTAGTCCTCGGCCCCCTTCCTTCCGGCCTGCGTACAGCCTCAGGGTGCTGGATTTGGGATGGAACCCTCCATGCATGGTCAGGAGCTTTCGTGTCTTAACATCTGTGGTCTGTATCTCCTCCTTTGGCCAGCTTACAATCCCTGCAGGGTATCTGATCACTGGCAGGGCGTAGCTGTTGATTGCCTGCACCTTGTTCTTGCCATTGAGCTGGCTTCTAAGGACTTGCCTCACTCTTTGCAGGTATTTGGCCGTAGCCGCTTTCCTTGTTGCCTCTTCGAGGTTGCCATTTGCTTGTGGGATACCAAGGTACTTGTAACTGTCCTCAACGTCTGCTATTGTTCCCTCTGGGAGTGACACCCCCTCTGTGTGGACTACCTTCCCTCTCTTTGTCACCATCCTGCTACATTTCTCAAGCCCGAATGACATCCCGATGTCTGTACTGTAGATCCTTGTGGTGTGGATCAGTGAGTCGATGTCTCGCTCACTCTTAGCGTACAGCTATGATATATATATATATATATATATATATATATATATATATATATATATATATATATATATATATATACTGTCGGGGACAGTACCCCTGGACTGGCAAACCGGGGTGGTGGTCCCTCTGTATAAGAAGGGGGACCGGAGGGTGTGTTCCATCTATAGGGGGATCACACTTCTCAGCCTTCCCGGTAAGGTCTATGCCAGGGTACTGGAGAGGAGAATCCGGCCGATAGTCGAACCTCGGATTCAGGAGGAGCAGTGTGGTTTTCGTCCTGGCCGTGGAACACTGGACCAGCTCTACACTCTCCATAGGGTGCTCGAGGGTTCATGGGAGTTTGCCCAACCAGTCCACATGTGCTTTGTGGATCTGGAGAAGGCATTCGACCGTGTCCCTCGTGGTGTCCTGTGGGGGGTGCTCTGGGAGTATGGGGTCCGGGGGCCTTTGCTAAGGGCTGTCCGGTCCCTGTATGACCGGAGCAGGAGCTGTGTTCGCATTGCCGGCAGTAAGTCAGACCTGTTCCCGGTGCATGTTGGACTCCGCCAGGGCTGCCCTTTGTCACCGGTTCTGTTCATTGTATTTATGGACAGAATTTCTAGGCGCAGTCAGGGGCCGGAGGGGGTCCGGTTCGGGGACCACAGGATTTCATCTCTGCTGTTTGCGGACGATGTTGTTCTGTTGGCTTCATCGAGCCAGGACCTGCAGTGTGCACTGGGGCGGTTTGCAGCCGAGTGTGAAGCGGCTGGGATGAAGATCAGCTCTTCCAAGTCCGAGGCCATGGTTCTCGACCGGAAAAAGGTGGCTTGCCCTCTCCAAGTGGGTGGGGAGTCTTTGCCTCAAGTGGAGGAGTTCAAGTATCTCGGGGTCTTGTTCACGAGTGAGGGAAGGACGGAACGTGAGATTGACAGGCGGATCGGTGCAGCTTCAGCAGTGATGCGGTCGCTGTATCGGACCGTTGTGGTGAAGAGGGAGCTGAGTCGAAAGGCGAAGCTCTCGATTTACCGGTCAGTCTTCGTTCCTACTCTCACCTATGGTCATGAGCTCTGGGTAGTGACCGAAAGGACGAGATCGCGGATACAAGCGCTCGAAATGAGTTTCCTCCGCAGGGTGGCTGGGCGCTTCCTTAGAGATAGGGTGAGGAGCTCAGTCACACGGGAGGAGCTCGGAGTAGAGCCGCTGCTCCTCCACGTCGAGAGGAGCCAGTTGAGGTGGCTCGGGCATCTGTTCCGGATGCCTCCTGGGCGCCTCCCTCGGGAGGTGTTCCGGGCATGTCCTGCCGGGAGGAGGCCCCGGGGAAGACCCAGGACACGCTGGAGGGACTATGTTTCTCGGCTGGCCTGGGAACGCCTCGGGGTCCCCCCGGAGGAGCTGGAGGACGTGTCTGGGGTGAAGGAAGTCTGGGAGTCCCTGCTTAGGCTGCTCCCCCCGCGACCCGGCCTCGGATAAGCGGACAAAAATGGATGGATGGATGGATATATATATATATATGTGTGTGTGTATGTATATGTATATATATATATATATATATATATATATATATATATATATAATAAAAAAATTTGTTTCTCACCTTCCACGGTGGTAAGTCTCTCTCACCCTCATTCAGCTCGGGTCCTCTACCAGAGGCCTGGGAGCTTGAGAGTTCTGCGCAGTATCTTTGCTGTTCCCAGTACTGCACTATTCTGGACTGAGATGTCCATTGTTTTTCCCGGTATCTGTTGTAGCCACTCTTCCAGTTTGGGGGTTACAGCCCCGAGTGCTCCGATCACCACAGGCACCACTGATGCCTTTACTTTCCAGGCTCTCTCCAGCTCTTCCTTGAGCCCCTGGTATTTCTCTAGCTTCTCGTGTTCCTTTTTCCTGATATTACCATCGCTTGGTATTGCGATGTCCACCACCACGGCTCTGCTCTGTTTCTTATCCACCACCACTATGTCTGGTTGGTTCGCCATCACCATTCTGTCAGTCTGTATCTGAAAGTCCCACAGGATCTTGGCTCGGTCATTCTCCACAACCTTTGGAGGTGTTTCCCACCTTGATCCTGGGG